GCACTTTGTAGTCTTTGCTGCCATCTACAGGCTTGTTAACTATTTACATGTGCAGCATTTCAAAAGCACTTGTTTTGCTCATGCAAAGACAAACATTGTTTATTGCCTCTTAATTTTCGTCCTAATTGAATGCTGAACCTATATGAGCATCTCCCTAATGGCTCATAAAAAGAGCCCTGCTAGATCAGGCCAAAGGTCCATCTAATGTCATGAGCGGAGCCGGCTGGTGCCGGAGGTCAGACTAGATGGCCCGGGAGACCCCTTTTGACTCACTCTGTTTCTATGTTTCTAATCCAGCATGCTGTTTTCAACAGTGGTCAGCCTGACGTTTGGAGCAGCCCACAAGCCATTCTATAGAGGCTCCCTGTCTTGAGGGGCAAAATACCCACAGTGGGACCCCCTCCCTGCGTGGGTTCCTCTCTTCATTACTGCCTGTGCTGCCTCACTTACCCTCCGCCTCTGGCCCCAGTCAGTGCAACTATCCAGAGGGAGAGCAAGGCAAGTGAAGGACTTCCTCACGCTTGGCATGCTCAGAAGGCAGGGGAACAGACACCTCTGGGGAATAGAAGCAGCCATAAGATCCAGACCCGCACAGTGGGGTAACCAGCAGGGATTCAGTTTTCCCTCTTTCATTCACCTATTAACAGACTGGAAATTCATGCAGGAAAGAATTGCGCAAATAATTCACATTTATATAAATTTGCAATCCTGAAAATGCACAGATCACCCCCAAATGTGTATTCCAGTGCTATATTATTTGGGATAAGTTGTGCGTTTTTGTTATTTTACATATTTTCTGCAGCAAAATTTGCACAAAAACTACACTTAAAAAAAAAAGCTGCCTTTCAGCCCCACAAAATCCATGTGATCCTGGAAAGCTGGTCCGCTGCAGAATATACAGGTTGTACTTGGGTTCTGACCTCATTTGAGTTTGTTGCAGATTTCTCTGACTGCCTGAGCTCTGAATTTGCATGCTTAATTCCTTGCATATGTGTGAAGCTGACCTGTAGTTTCTTGGCTCACTTTTTTGGATTAATACGCTCTGCATAAATTTTGATTCAGTTCCCTCTTAATGATTAACTCACCAACCTTGGAACCAAGGGCAAAAATGAACATTATTTTTAATTTTATCTTGTTTCATGCTTCTTTGTTTTTCATTTTTATTAAGTTGTTGTTTTTGCTGTTGTTGTTAGAGTCACTGAGTCCCTGATCTGAATCAGGATGCTAAGATCCAGGGGAAGTAGAAGGCACCTATCCTAGAGTAAAAAGTAATGGAAGACACAGTGCTAGAATCACCTGCGGGTTTTTTGGCCCAGTTCTTATCTTATCTGCAGTACTTTATCTGTAACATTTTGCATATACTGTATTTCATTCCTTGCTAATATGCTACATGTGTATATGCTATATCTTTTGTAATGCGATGTGATGTGTACATCCATAGATAATTGTGTGCATGAACACCTGACTGCTCCCATAATTCCAGTTCTTGGTTTGTGTTTCTTGCATGTTGTAATAATCGGGATTGTGGTGGATTGATAGTGGTGGCCTCATATTATCCATGAGGGCTACCTTCATCTTGAGTTAGAATTCCATCCTTGAGTTACAGCACCCAAATCTGGTTACCCAAATAAGGCAGTCCCTCGGTTATGAATAAGTTCCATTCCTGAGAAAATGGAAATTTTTCATTAAGTTGAATTTGGATTTAAGTCGGATCATGTATAGTCGGCCTTCTACTTTCATGGCAATTGGGGGCACAGGACCGCTGTGAACTGGGAAACCAGAGCTTTAGGGTAACATCAAAGCATCAGCCAAAGCATATGAAAGTTCAATCTAGTCTGTTCAAACATCATTTGGTAAAGTACTTAATTAATGGCCATGTGTGGACCAGGTGAGAATTGAGCTTAGGAGTAATGTCCCTTCAGATTTAAAGAGTGGGCCTGCAACATGGCCCCACACAAATGATGGCTCGTCTAAATCATGCATTTGTACAAATCATTGTACGCAGAATGCATGCGATGACTGTCATTTTCTACCACTTTGGGCAAGGATCACGGATATCACAGATGACATTTCTTGTATGGTACCAGATGCTAAGAAGACCTAGCCTAATCACCACACAATTACCTGAAGAGAGAGCTTGTCAGCCTCATGTTGGAACCAGACTACATACTTTCTGCTAACCATAGTCAGAACTACATGTTGAAAAATGAATGAAGTCACTTTAGAGATTCTCATCAGCTTTTGACTGAGCAGAGCCAGCCACTTTAACAAGGTCATAGTTCCATTCTTCACAATGGAACTAGATCCTCTGTGCACATAAACATGGCCCTTTGAAGCAAGCAGGCAGAGCTGAGACCCTCCAGATGTTGTTGGACTCCATTTACTTTGTCCTGACCATTGACCATGCTGGTTTGGGCCAAAGACAGTTATAGTCTAAAAACATCTGGAGGGCCACAGGTTCCCCATTTGTATTGTATGTGCTGTACTGGCAGAATGACAAGGAGGTTAGTAAAGTTTATCAGTTAGTATAGCAAACTTTCCCAGAGTCCCAGATCCAGAATTGTTTCTTGATACCAGGCATAGTTTTACAACCTTTAACTTGCTAGAAAGAGCACCTGAGATAATTGCTTTGAGGCTGTTTGTACTGTGAGAGCAAGACTGTTTGTCTTACTGAAGTAACTTTACCCCTCCAACACTCAAGAAAATGGGGGGTTAGAGCTTGTGCATACAGAGATTCTGCAATAGCGGGAAGAGAAGAACCTTATAAAATAGCAAGAGCTGATGTAATTGATTCTTGACCCAGGAAAAAGAATTGGTGCATTTTTTTTGCCCAGACAACTTTAGAGGCCCCCTAGCTCATTCAGAGAACCAATATGTCCACAGAGGAAGAGCAGGGTAAACTTTCTTTTGCTGGTTTATACTGTGCATGCACATTCATCAGTGCAAACTGTATATCATCTTTGACACTGGTGGCTTCATCTCTCCTTAAGTATCCTCAAATCTAAAGTGAGGTGCCTTGGCCAGACCAGGTCCCTAGAGTTAAAAATGGCATTGCTGCTCAAAGCACATCTGAAATTTGCCTGCCTTCCATCCACTTCAGTGGGATGTGCATCAGAAGAAAATTATTAGAATCACTTTGTAGTTCTCTAAAAGGCCCAGAAGTAGGGTGAGGTTGTTGAAAAAATAGCCTTTTAATTTCCTTTGTAATTAGAATTTGATTGCTAGTATAAATTAGCTTGCAGTGCTTGGTGCCTTTTGTGGAAGTTATTTCCCAAAGTGAATAACTTTAAATTAAATGACTCTTATCAACCCCAAGGCATCAGTGTTTAAAATCTCAGAGTAGGCTCCTGGAACTGGGGACTTATAAATTAAACAAAATTATATCTCTTTTTAATAAACTCAGCTGAGTTTTGATTTCTTTTTTCCTTCTTGTTAGCTATATAGTGTGAAGATTGGAATGGCAGTCAGTGGTAATCAGATACGAGTTTAAGATTATCTTACTTTGCAGTTCATTCTGCATACACCCAAATTCAAGATCTAATGGGGAATAATAATGTGTTGTGTTTTCCACCAACCCACCCACATACACACACTGGAGTAAATTGCCTGAACACAGTGGTTTCAGGGCATGCACAGAATTCACCCACTCCCTGTCTTCCCTTGATATTTTGGTGGAAGAAGTTGATCCGTTTCTGTATTTCCTTGGATCCATAGATTTGCTCTTTCCAGTGGAATGCCTAAAAAGCCTGTGCATGGAATGATTCAGGTGCACACATGCACATACAGGCATCTGTGAACTGAGGGAAACCTGCCTAGTTTCCCATGGCAACTCACTATTAGAAGTGGATTCCTCCAACTTTCTTTTTCCACCACAAAAGACTCATGTTCTTGTCAGCAATGCACAGGGAAAGTATAGCTCAGGGTGTCAGAAGTCTATCAGCCCAAGGGTTAAATTCAATTTCAGAGATGCTCTCAAGAATTTCTTTCCATTGGAGGATGGGGCAAAAGGCAAACGGGAGAAGGCCAAGCGTACCAGCATATTTTAGCTTGAAGCTCTTCCAACCAAATAGGGAGGAAGGACCACAAAAGACAGAAAATTGCCGAATGACTAGCAGACAAAAGCTGGGCACACGGCCATCTCAGAACCCCTGGGCGACCCAGCTGGGACTCCAAGCAGGGCAGAGATGGCCAGTGGGCATGAAGTTCAACAGCCCCACCACCATAGCCAAAACTGGACTTGAGGCAGCTTCTGCCACTGTCACCACAATGTCCTTGACCAGCCCTAGTCACAGACGGCTGAGGGGGACAGCCCACATCATAATGTGAATTTCACATGGCCTCAGATGGGATAGACCTGCCCTGTCACCATTCCTCATAAGGAGCATCCACATTTCCAAAGAAGGAATATACTGAGTCATTGATTTCCCTGGAAGAAATCTCTGTGGCAGCTTATCAGGCTTGCTTCTTCCCTGTTATTTTGATGGTGCCCTCCATTCGTGTTACAGTGTGGTGTGGAATAAACCCGATAGCAATTCCTTAAATTATATGCTTTAATGGATTGCCATCAGTTGCAACACTAAAGGCAGGGAATTAACAGGATGATGTGTGGATGACTGATTGTGATGGAAACAACCTTGAGAAGATGCGCAGCTTCTTGATGAGGCTGTATTACTCCACATGGCTTGTGGAATCAACCACTCAGTCAGCAGCTTACGATGCTTCCAATTCAGGCTTTATTGTCAGATGGTTCTACATCACTCATGGAACTATACAGCATGGAACAGAATGTTGGTATAATGAAATATGCAGATAGAACAGGGCCTTTATTATTATTAAAAACAAAAAAAACATTGGAATGAAGTTTCACAAAGTTACTCTGTTGCCTTTCAGATTGCTCAAACTGCATTTTCAAGAAAGAACAGGGTGGTTAAATGTGTATGCAAAAGAAGGAAAATACATAAACAAAAAACATTCTTTGTTTCCTTTCTTATTTCTGGCAGCCCCATTCAGTTCTTCCAAATCTGCAGACAACGTGGTTAAGTTTGACATTTATGGAGATGGAATAGGCCGATACAATGTCTTCAATTTCCAGCACAGTGGAGGCAAATACTCCTACTTAAAGGTTGGCCAGTGGGCAGAAACCCTCACCCTCAATGTGGACTCTATTCACTGGTCCAGAGGCATTGTTCCCACTGCCCAGTGCAGCGATCCCTGTGCACCCAATGAGATGAAGAACATGCAACCAGGAGATGTCTGCTGTTGGATTTGCATTCCCTGTGAGCCCTTTGAGTACCTGGCTGATGAGTTCACCTGTTCGGACTGCGGCCCTGGGAGATGGCCCACAGGGGATCTCACCAGCTGTTATGACCTGCCAGAAGATTACATCAAGTGGGAAGACGCCTGGGCAATCGGCCCTGTGACGATCGCATGCCTGGGCTTCCTTTGCACTTTCCTCGTTGTGGGGGTCTTTATCAAGCATAACAACACTCCTTTGGTCAAAGCTTCAAGTCGTGAGCTGTGCTACATCCTCCTCTTTGGAGTCTTCCTCTCCTACAGCATGACCTTCTTCTTCATTGCCAAGCCTTCGCCGGCCATCTGCACCTTGCGCCGTCTGGGCCTGGGCACATCCTTTGCCATTTGCTATGCTGCTCTCCTGACAAAAACAAACTGCATCGCTAGAATATTTAATGGGGTGAAGAACGGGGCCCAGAGGCCCAAATTCATCAGCCCACGTTCTCAGGTCCTCATCTGCCTGAGCCTCATCATGGTGCAGATCGTGGTGGTGTCCGTGTGGCTGATTTTGGAGGCCCCAGGCACTCGCCGGCACACTCTTCCTGAGAAAAGGCAGACTGTCATATTGAAGTGCAATGTCAAGGATTCCAGTATGCTCATCTCTTTGTCATACGATGTGATCCTTGTGGTCTTATGCACTGTCTATGCCTTCAAAACAAGGAAGTGCCCAGAAAACTTCAACGAAGCCAAATTTATTGGCTTCACAATGTATACAACGTGCATTATTTGGCTGGCCTTTCTGCCAATCTTTTATGTGACATCCAGTGACTACAGGGTAAGTCTTCCGCCTTGGTTTCAGACAAACTCATGATGAGATTGAATGAGAGTGTGGTTTCTTTGTGAGCGTGCCCTGCTGCAGAGCAAACTGCAGTGGAGTATACAGCATACAGCAAGGAGAAAATGACACTCAGTCATATTCAGTGCAACACCTCCATCTCTCTCATTTCTCATGCATTCCATTTTCACAAGAGCACACATCCGTTCACACAACAGAAACTCACGCTCACCTCATTAACTCATTCATCCACTGGCCCTTTCATTCAGTTCTTTCTCATATGCTTACTCTCCCTGCCCTAAGGAGGTTGAGCCTCTTTCAAAGCAAGGGCTGAATGCCATTTTGGAGCAGCTCTGGGAGCTGGAGGCAAAAGGGTCAGCACAGTGTAGCATGAACGTCCTACTGCCAGTCACTAAGCCTTAGGAAAGACATTTCAATCTTTTAGAATCTGTACAACTGACAGACAGACACCTAATGGTGGAGGTGAGGGGGAACGTGTGGGCTGGATATGGCCCTGGGCCAGAGTTTCTGCCCCCTGCTGTATGCTCCTGTTTGTTCCTGTCGCTGATGTTTCGCAATGTCTAAAATGGGACAGGAGCTTATGCATCTCCCTTGCTCCGATTCTCTCTGTACAGGTTCAGACCACAACCATGTGCATCTCTGTAAGTCTGAGCGGCTTTGTCGTCCTGGGATGTTTGTTTGCCCCCAAAGTGCATATCGTCCTCTTCCAGCCTCAAAAGAATGTGGTTACGCACAGGCTGCATCTCAACAGGTTCAGCGTCAGTGGGACAGGAACCACTTATTCCCAAGGTAATTAACAAAAAGCATGATTGGAAAGTAGGACTACTGGCTTTCCTTCTGAAGAGAACCATTCCTTGCCACTCTAGATTTCTGCATTTGTTAATTTTTCCACCATTTTGCCATGCAAAAAGTAGATGCCCAAGGCAGTTTTTGGCTATAGTCAAATCTCAGAAATGCAGTTTATAATATAGAAGTAAAGTTTCTAAATCAACATAAGTTTGAAATAAAATACAGTGGCAATTAATACAAACAGTACTTGTAATAAAAACCAATCCCAAACATTTTTTAAATTACATGAAAGATTAAAAAGAAGGAAAAACAGATGTAACTAAAAATGTTAAGAGCTGCAGGGTAAATGCTCTTCTAAAAATTCAGCTCATTAAAAGCTGTGCAATAGACAGAAATCCAAGGAAAGTTGTTTTGCTCTGAAATTGTCGGGCTGTGATATGGAAATGCTTCATTTGCTGAATTTCTGGCTCTCCTACAGCTCTGAACTGCACAGCAAAATCAGACTGATGTCCCTTTTTAATCCTTTAACATGCTAAACAGAGCATACCTTAATAATGCATTTTCTCATTAGTTAAAACTCTTCTAATTATTATTGGCAGTGCTCACACTTGAAACTAGCATAATCCAGCACTTGAAGGACTGTGTGCCGCTGAGTTCATCTGGAAGGGACAAGGCTGCAAGCCTTCATCACTATGTTGGTCGACTTTCCCAGCAGTCATAGGCATGTCAGCTGGTGATGACCTATAAAGCCCTAAATGGCTTAGGGCCTGGTTACCTGAGGGAGCATCTCCTTCCATATGTGCCTGCCTGCCCCTTAAGATCTGGGGCAGACGCCTTTCTCCAGGTACCCTCCCTGAAGGAGATTAGGAGGGTGACTAACTGGAGAAGGGCCTTCTCTGCAGTAGTGCCTCAATTGTGGAATTCGCTCCCCAGAGAGGTTTGCCTGGCGCCATCACTTTATTCTTTTCGGCACCAGGCCAAAACCTTTGTATTTCCCAATGTTTTAAGACCTGACTGTTTTAATTGGGGTTTTATTATTAGTTGAATATTTAGGACACTGTGTTTTAATTTTTTTTTACATTTTGTATTGTCAAACCATCCTGAGACTTCAGCAATGGGACGATTTAGAAAAGTTTTAAATAAATAAATGTCTCCTTAGGAGTAAATCCCCTTGAGTTCAGTGGCACTTAATCTTATGTAAGTATGCATAGGATTTTTTTAAATGTTGTTTTTTTTTCATTTTTTTCTTTTAAATTGTTATATTATTATTAGTTATGGATGTTTTTATGTATTCTTTGTGAGCCGCCCCAAGGCTTTGTTGCGATGGAGGTGGCATAGAAATGTTTTAAATAAATAAATAAATAGATAGATAGATAGATAAATTACAGATAGGCTGCAATCCAGTGCACAGAGAATAAACCATGCAGGCAGAATGTGCCGTTGCTGGGCAAAATGACCAGTGCTCTCACACAGACTTACCCTGGCCAAGATGTTTCTCTGAGGCATGTTCCATTTTTACTTTAATCCCCCGGCTGCCATGCTAACTGAATGGCAGCTGGACATGTATGTCACCCACCAATCCTCCCATCTGTCTCTCTTGCAGACCATCCTTTTCCACCCACTGCCAATGCATCGGTGCTGACTGAATCATACACACCCCTGTCCTCTTTGCTTCTGTTACCAGTAGGGTCGATTCTCCCAGGTACACCACAGAGGAAGGGCAGACAGCAACTGGCTTTGTCTTATGGCCCACCCAACAAAACCAACATTCAAGACATATGCTTGGCATACTAGTTGGCTCTATGTATACTGTCTAGATTCCTCAGCCAGCTTGTCAGTCATGGTTTCCATCAAAGGACCTTGGTGGCTGTACTTTACAAGTGCAGGTTTGCTGGAAACTCTGCTAGATGCTTTGTTGCAAAGGGCTTCTTTACATAAGGGGTTCTATACTGTCAAGAGAGCTTCAGCTGTGGAGCAGTACAGAAATGAAATGAAATGAACAAAATGAAATGAAATCAATACATAAATAAATATGTAAATTTAAAAACTGACCCACTGCTGTATGAAGGCTTCTTTACATGGGCTTTTCTTGGGGTTTCAGTGTTAGCTGCCTTTCTATGTACCCTATTAACCAGCACAGCCCTGTGATGCAACTGCAGTACCATGGATTTTTACCTTTTCACAAGGCTTTTCTTCCACTTTGCTATAATTTAAAATGTAATACCAGAATTACTCAAAAAAGAACCCACGAAATAGGCTGGAGAATTTAGGAAAGCAACAATGCAGTGAAAAACCCCCATATGTTTCCATGAGGAATGACAAGCGTGCAATAAATGCCTTGTGTAGAGAAACCCAAAGTTTTAGACGAATTTTTGCTAGAAATGGTGGCTGCTTCACTGAACCACAGTTACAGCACTCCTTTCTTTGGAGCTGAACCTTGTTTAACTTTGAAGTATCATCTGATTTAAAAATATTCAGGGGCATTCCTCCTTATTTCAAGGCCAGGAGAGCACAGAGTGCCTGGGCCACTAAAAATTATTTGTTACTAATGGCAGTTTTTCTCTTTCAGCTTCTGCTAATGTGTATGTTCCAACTGTCTGCAATGGAAGAGAAGTTGTGGATTCCACCACCTCGTCTCTGTGATTATTCAGCCGGTTCTCACAGTCCTAGACTGTTAGAAAGTATTGCACATTTCTTGTGCACTTTGGAAAATAAGACCCTTTTAAAAGGACTAGCATTTTTTTTCTAGATACTGTGTAATAAATTATTTTTGAGGACTGTACAGTATATAGTGATGTTCTTTTTAGAACAACTTTAGGAGCCCTCTGTGATTAACAGTTCTAAGGGATGTGTAAATAACCATGACTTCCAGTGCCACCATATTGACTCAGCAGTGAAGGAATGGTCAGTTGCCGTGTTGGGAGGCATTCTTTCTAATGACAATTTCTTTTGTAATTCCTTGTTGTAATTTACTTAGACCACATTTCTATGTTGTAAATTATGGTTACATTCTGTGCAACAGATGGTTTTCACAGCAGTATTAATTAATGTAAGGATGTCAGTAATAAAATTGGAAAAGTTTTCCAGCATGTTTACCCTTTTTCCCCCTACTTCACGATTCTTAAAATTCTTCATATGTGGAGAGCAAGATCCTTAGCAGAAGCAAGGCTGACATGCTGTATAAGTAAAACTAAACAAGCCCATTACTATTTACTAAATTGTACTAATTTAAGTGGTTCATGCTGGAGTACAGTTTCATCTGAAGTCCTTCGGGTTATTGATGTATTATCAAAGCCACTTTCAGCACCAGGGTGTGGAACCTCTGGCCCATCTCTTGTGGTCCCAATCTGTTCCTGTCCTTCCACAGGACACATTCCCTTTTCCCCAGTTTTTGTGTCATGCTCCCCCATTCTAAAATACCTCTCCCAAGGCTCAGTAAGAGTTTGAAGCTAAAATATGCTGGCATTATGTATGTTTGGCTCCATCTCCTTTGCCTTTGGTACCATCCATCCATGGACTGTTGCTCCTGAGAGCATCCCTGAACATGAATTCAGGCATCAAAGGGGTCACCCACCCCTGCTTTAGCATAAAGAGGGGACCACCCACCTCACGTGGCAGCTTTGAGGGTTGCAAATGTCTTTTCTTTTCCTTCCTAGGATTTAGGGAACTCTTGGTTTGGATTTTCACCCTCCTGCATAAAAATATCTTCATGTCATAGTCATCTTTAGAAGGTCACTGGAAACAGCCCCCCTCCCACCCACCCCCCAATACACAGGAGACTGCTGCTCTTGCACAACCACAGCTGCATGTCAAAGCCACTAGTATGTGTGATTTCATCAGTGCACCAAGTGTATTAAAAATTCACTATATTTCTATCATGTTGTTTACAAACTATGTTGCAGGAATGACCCAGGGTCACATGAAAGCTGCTTTATCAGAGCACATAAAACCATAAAAATCATAGGAAGCAACTGTCAAGCGCACCACTTGACAACTTTTCAGAATGCTTCAAAGCAATGTTTCAGGGTGCCTCTTTAAGAGTCTGGGCTCAGTTTGCCTGAGAGATTGCTCACACATCCTGCAACACCCTTTGATTCACCCTGTCCTTTGAGATCAACCTGGGGCGTCTTAATGGGTGTCGATGAAAAGAATTACACAATTCCAGATAAATTAGTGTAATAAATGTAGACATTTATTAGTTAAAATAAAGGGTTTCAGACATCCCCTACTCAAGAAACTGAAACAGTAGCAGCAATTTAATAAACAATATGGCAACAATGATACAACACATTCCAGTTGCACAATTGAAATTGAAGGAAGTTTGGAAGTGCCTCGGACTCATGTTCCAGGGGAACATCAAGGGCACAAACAAGGCCTCCCGACATCACCTGAGGATGGCAGAGGATCGTTTGGAGTACCCATTTGCCCCTCTTGCAGAAGGTGTGAAAAGAATTGTGCTGGCTGCCACTCCAGGATTGCTGATCAGCCACGGAGAGGAGGAAAGGGGATATGCCGGGGCAGGATTGGCTGGAGTCAGGGGCTTACATCTTGTCCAGGTGGCAGCCCAGCCCAGCCTCCTTCCTTCCCCCTCCATCCAGATGGCTGCAGGTGGCCATCTGGATGAAATGCAGGTTGGGAGGCATGGCAGAAGCAGAAGAAAAAAAGAAGCACTGCCAGCTCGCCCTGTGCCCTGCACAGGAGCCTCCAAGTTCAGAGACTGACATGTACCGAGGACAGGGGTGATAGGATTCCACCCTAAGTGAGCTTTCCTGAGCCATTCCAGAGATGTGAGTTATAGTCTTGTAACTCAATTCACAACATTTGCCATTTCAGGCTTGCACTTTCATCTGCTGCCCAAAGACAATGACAGAAACCCTGAAGGCAAGTATGTCCATCCTCTAAGTGCTCTGCCCTTGGACTGATGCAACCAAGGACTCCGGATTCCTGATCATGCTGCAGTGAGAACAGGCCCCTGGCAGCATGGATGCTCACCCTACCCTTACCCACCTAGCTGTTCCCATCAGGCCTCTAGAACCCTCAGACGTCACACATACATTTGCACACACCCTAATCATGTCATTCACTTGAACGAGATGGTGATGAGGAGGAGGAGGAAGGGGCATCAAGCTTCCTTGCTTGCTTTGTTCCATGCCCAGTTAAACCTGTCTTTGCTATCACTGCTGCCATGTTCAGCATAAGGTCTGCAGCAGGGAATCCCCAGGTGTCATGGAGGGTCCTCACAAGGGTTGTGCATGGAACCCATCTGCCAGATTCCCTGGATTTTGTCTTCCCAGGCACAGTGGCCCAGAGACTGAGTCACTGTTGAACATGTCCAAGGTTTGTGAGTGCTGGCCAGGAATTGGGCCACACATGCTGCTTAAGCAGCACCATGGAATGGCACCAGTGCACCTGTTCACTGTGTCTGTTCTCCCCATGCACCCTGCTACCTCCTGCTGTCAGATATGGCAACCAGCTCTATCTGGCCCCTTTCCCCCACAACCAGCAGGAACGAGAAGGGAAATTAGCTACTGCAAATGGCAGATGGGGAAGGTTCCCTGTTGTGCCACTGGGGTCCATGAATGGTCATGGACTTCTTCCAGATTCAACTTGCTTCCTTAGAAAGGCACAGGCACCAGAAGTCATCCCACAGGCAGGAGTGAACCAGGGTGCAGAGAGGCTTGGCACATCCCAGTGAGAACCCTGATAATGGGAGCATCATCTATAAGTACAGAGGACTCACAGTGCAGAAATCATGCTGCACACAACTACAGGGAGAGGTGAGAGGAGCAAGGTGACTTTGGCAGCAGCAGAGCCAAATTGCTCTCCTGCCTTTTTTGCCATGAAACCTTAGTCACATGAGTAGGACTCACAAGTAGACCAGAAGCAGCTTTGAACATAAGAAACATGCATCCCGCTTGTGTGAAGGTTCTAAGGATGACATTTCACTCCCAGTGTCCCTGCCCTTTCAGGCACAGACTTTGCCCATTGAGGCAGGTGTTCAAAAGGGAGCTTCTACTCATGTTGCCCTGCATAAGAGTCAACACCTCCCCAGTGGTAGCCCAAAAGTGTTGCAGGTGTAATGGCAGGGGAACTTCTGCCCATATAAATGGGTGTTCAGGAATCTTGGAAAAAGGATAATAAACAGCTTCGGAGAAATTACAGACTATGAGTTGCAATCTGTGAGTTGCAATCAAATCTAACTATTCTACTCCTGGGTTAAATGAAAGTTCGGAGCACTAAAATTTAGTGGTAATGGTGAATTGTATGTTAACAGCTGCAAGGACCCTCTTAGCAATACTTGGGCTATTGCCATGAAAAAGTCTTTAGTGCAATGGGGAAAAAAGACTTGCATTGCTATGATGATGAATACAATAAAAAGTTCTAAAAGTTGCTATGGGAGGGAAGAATGGACTCCAACCAGACATTCCAAAAATGTTAGATACTGTTTATTAATTATTGCAAAATTCCAGTCGACTAATTTAGAAATGCACACACAGACATATACATACTATATGTGTGTTCAACTGCATTTTTAACTGTCTTGAATGAATCTACTGGGAGCCAACCTAACATAGTTATATAATGAGAGATTATGCCTGTTGGGAGCCAAGTTTCCTCCTTTGAGCATTCAAAAGCCACAGTCTATTTTCCTTGCAAAGCATTCTTTATTAACCCAAAAGCACACATCCCCCAGAATGACTCTCTGAGCATGAACAGAGCAGTTTGCTGAATCAATCTAGAATTCACCTCCAGAAACTCTCCATAAGAGCATGCCTTGGCCCCATTCCTTTGGGAGAGGCCTTCTGAAAGCGAGCCTCCTTCCTCTCTGCATGCTGATCCTCTAATCGGGCCACTCTCCTCTGCTGACAGTGCATCATGGGGTCAAGTGCTGGGGCTGCTTGGACTTCATCTTAGAAATTCAGGGTCCCCTCCCATCTGCTGCATATCTTGAATATTCCCATGGGCTGCCTCCCCATCTGAGGGGCCTGTCGAGATAAGCACTTCCGCTTCTTCCATCTCAGGGCCTTGGCATGGCCCATCCACTCCAGCCCGCTGCTGTTCTGTTTCACATTCCCATTTAAATTCTTCTGAAGTCCAGCCAGCAGTCCTTGAGAAGGAAGGCCCAAAGCCGCCAACCTTGTCACTCCCAGCATTGCCTGTGTGCGGTGAGGGGCCCTGCTTTAGCAGTGCTCCGGACTGCCCTTGGCTTCCGTTCCCACTCAAGCACAAACAAGGAGAGGCCCCTCCAGACTCCTCCTTATCAACATGGGAAAGGCAAGGCTGTTGAGGCAGTGGATGCACACCTTTTCTTGTCCCTGCCATAATTAAGCCTTCACAAGACGAGGCTGAACCCTCACTGGGCTTCCTAATTCATACTCACATTTGCAGCAAAGCAACCAAACAAGCTTTAGGGCAATAGAGCTCTGCCAAGGCCCAGTCTCTGTTCACACGAAAAGGTGGTTCAGGAGCCCTTTGCTCAGCTCTCAGCGGCTGAGCAAGCAAGTAAACAACCAGGCATCAGCTCAACATTTCAGCCTTGCTCAGTTTGTAGCGTGGCCTCGGGGGGAGGGGTGCCATTCAGGGTGCTCTGCACATTGCCTACCCTTCGGTGAATCTGTCATGACAGAGATGTGATCCCCACCCAGGTTCAGAAACGCGGCAGTACAGTGCCTTTAATTTTTGAAAGAGGAGACTGCCTGCCCCTAAAGGTAAAGAAGGATCACAAGGAAATACAACACAGAGATGAAAATCAGCTTGCAGAATTGACTTTCTCAGGCGTTGGGGAATATGTGTTCTATCCCATTGGCTGTAGGACTGCAACTATCCCCATTTCTTTCAACTGGATATGCCGACTAAATATGACGGGAGATCCAGTCCAGCAAGATCTGGAGTGCCACATATTGCCTACTGCACCTGACGTTAAATAAGAGACTTGCTCAAAGGGTGATAGGCATAGAATAACTGATCTTCTAATGAATATTGGGTGGCTGTCACAATAAGCATCAAACTGGACAAGGAAATGGAAGGTGGTAGACTGGCATCCCCCCCCCCCCGACCCCCAACAAAAGGATGAAATGATCCTGACAGGCTTGTCCTGGGACGCTATTAAAGAAGCAAAAAGGTTTTATAGGGGAGAAAATTGAAAATAATCAAGACTTATTGTTCAGGGAAACAAAGAAAAGGTGTTCAAATAGGTTCATCTTGACTTTTTGGACCACAAACTGAGATGCTCAAGTTGATACACAAAGTGCTGACAGGTATAATATTTAGCTCAAAGTAAAATTACAGCCACATCAGCAACACACACACACGAGAGAGAGAGAGAGAATTCAATATGAGAATTTAAGAACTTCTTTTTAACAGAACAAACTTGTCTTCCCAAGATGCCTAAATGTCAACAAAGAGAAGGGCAGGCAAGCCCCTGGATAGAGGGTCCCATACTCCAGTGTCACAGCTGAGAAGGCTTAGCATTACATGGCTGGTATGTAACACCAGCCAGCCACATGAGTTTCAGCAGTAGATCCAAGCCCTGAGCAGATGGGAAGATTGTGTGGGAACACATGCTTCCTTTGAGATCCTAGTCCCAAACAATGTAGAGCTTTAAAAGATAATGTAGGTTTGGTCTTAGAAACAAACCAGATAGAGGATATGTGTTGCTATGGAATGCATCAGCTGTGACCCAAACTAAATGTTCCTTAAATGCAGGTAGTTCACCTCTGTGTGATGGTAATACCTGTTGTCCTGAAAGAGCATGTAGCCCCACTCAGGTCACGGCCACAGGGCCCCATGGAGAAGGGCTTAAGCTTCCTCCCAGCTGTTGTCTTTTCTCCCCAAAATTCTATACACACAGGCCACCTTTTTATCTATGGGACAAAGTCTGTGGACTTTAACAGGGAGACAACAAAAGCAAGGGGAGGGAGGAAGCTTAAATCAGCTGAACTATCAAAGGCACATTCAGTTTGGTTCTCTGTGCTGTGATCTAGCCTGATTTAAACACATGGAACTAGCTTGCTCACAAAGGCTTCACAATCCCTTTCAACAAAGGAAGCAGCTCTTTTGTGCATACAAGTGGATAAAGGTAGGGGGACCATGTGTCCTTCTTTCTAGAATAAAATAAATAAATAAATAAAGATAAGAACAAGATGGTACCACAAACAGGGAAAAAGGAAGGGGACAATTCCAGCTACCAGAAAAATAAGCTTCCCTTCCCCAGCCACAGAAACTGGAATGCTTGCCTTCTCCTTTTTTCCTACTTTATTTTGCAGGAGTCATCTATTTAAAGGGCTGCCCAGTTCAAAGTCCAGTTTCAAAATAGAGAGAGCTGGGCCCACCAAAAGTTAGTGTTTGACCACTACTGAGCAGGCATGCAAGCTACTAACTATAAATTCCTCCACCATGGTGAAACGTGCTATATTTCTGTTTAAATTACTAAATCTGCAGCTATGGATATAAACTAGCATACACACATTTTATGCAATTTTGTCTTCTTTCTGGCAGTGTGTCAGTGAGCTGCATAAGTGAGCAACAGGACAGCTCCATTTATGGAGTTAAAGAACAGGAAGCAGGCAGTAAGAACAAATGGAAAGTTCTCCCAATGGAGGATGTAAACAGGGGGTCCCATAGGGACCTGTACCAGGACTAATTTTTTCCAACCTGTTCATGAATGATCTGGAATCAAGAGTAAGCTGCAAGATGGCCAGGTTTGCTGACTACACCAAATTTGGGCTGAAAAGACAAAAAGGGATTTTGAAGAACACCAAAAGGGTCTTTCAAGCCTGGAAGAAGGGGCATCAAAGTGACAAATGCAGTTCAGTGGAAGCAAGTGCAATATGATGCATACTGGGGCTGAGAAATCTGTCTCAGCTTCTAATGAACACTGATGGGGTCTGATCCAAGAAGAGACATCTTGAGGTTGTGAGGGCATCTCAGTGAAAACGTTGATCCAGTGCATAGTTGCTCTGAAAAAGGCAAATTCCTTGTTAGGCACTCTTAGGAAAGGGTCAACCGCATACTGCTCTTTTACAAATATATGGTCCAACCATACCATGAAATACTGCATGTTGTTCTGATCACTGTACCTCAAAAAGGGTATCACTGAGTTGAAACAGGAGCACAACCAAAATGTTCAAATGATGAAGCAGCTTCCTTTTAAGGAAAGGATACAACATCTGGGATTGTCTCTCTTAGGACAAAGGGTAGTAAAGGGGAACGTGACAGAATTATGCATGGCATTGGAGAGGATAAAACATCTGGGATTGTCTCGCTTAGGACAAAGGGTTAGTAAAAGGGAACGTGACAGAATTATGCATGGCATTGTGATTCTAGTTAGGGAGATGTTTGTCTTCCCCCTCTTATTATTAGAATGTGGCATCAGCTCATGAAGTAGAATGCTAAAAGATTCAGGACAGACAAAAGAAAGTACTTCTTCATACAGTGAGTACTTAAACTATGGAATCTGCTACTACAAGATGCAATGAAGGTCACCAATTTAGATGGCTCTCAAAGATTAGACAAATGTATAGAAGATAAGGCTATCAGAGACTCCTAGTCCAAATGGTTATGTGCTTCTGCCTCCAATACCAAGCACAGCATGCCTGTGAATGCAGTAGCTGGGTATTATGAGTGGGAGAGTCCTAGTTGGGTGTCCATCAGTCAACTGGATGGCCACCATGTAAACAGAATGTTGAATCAGATGGGCGCTTGGTCAGATCCAGCATGGTTCTTAATTTCGTCCTATGTTCTATTCCACCTGCATAGCACAAGGGTCTTATAGTATGAGAAAACAGCTGGAATCAAAATTAAGTACTAATAACTTTTTTTAAATGCACAAGTATTAACAGATTATTCATTGAAACCTAAGGCTTTGGGTCACAAGAGATGACAGCCAGCAGTAAAAGGAAGTTGCAAAAGTAAATCCCAACTGCAAGGTTGCTTTGGAAATGAATGGCAAAGTGGCAGCCTACACAGTATGTTGCAAATTGTCAACTCTTTCCCAAATATCTTCATAGGTACCTATGGTTTAGGGAAAACAAAAACAAAAGAGAAATGTGCATAAAGAGCCAAGAAGCCCATTGTTCTTTATCACCGAAGACTGTCAATTCTATGAAGTCCAGAAGGGAAAAACATTTGTAATTTCATTTTAGGACTACAAATAAGGCAAACATTGTTGAAATAAAGATTCACAGAAATTTACATGGTAAGGGAGGATCCATAGCCAACTGGTTAAACACAAAATTTGTATACAAGGTTCCATGTTCAGTTTCCATATCCCAGATAAAGGGACTGAAACTTTGGTCAACTACACTTAGAATAACAGAAAATGTTGGACTAGATGGACCAAATATCTGACCCGGTTTAAGAAGGATGCATGTTTTCATCCAGTTGAAGTCTATTCCACCAAATGCATTCAGAGCGGCTGACATCACCTAGGTTCCTGCAGAACATCTGGCCTATGACTCCCATCATTCCCAACTAAGAATGTGCTGATGCTGGAATGCCCAGCTTGTTTGAACTCAATGGACTTCCTGCCCAATTCTAATCTAGTGATTGGAAACAGGCTGAGTTGGGAGCTCTTCCATCTCTAAAACTGGTTACTGTTCGGACATTTTTTGAAAATGCTAAGGGAATTTGCAGCAATCACACAATCTGAGCATTTCTACAAATTTACACAATTTGCACAAATAGCATGATTGGCACTATTTGCACAAGTTGGAAGCTGGAATGATGTAGTTCTGGTGCGATTTGTGCAAATTGTGATAGAGCTGTACAGTTTGAGCTAATTTCTGTAGCATTAAAAATATGCTAACTGTGGCCTGTTTTAAAGATGGAAATGTGCAAGTGGACTTGATTCACACAATGGCAAATCAGTACCAACATAGGGGTAATAAACTAGAATCCTGGGCCAGGGTAATTGTGAAAATTCATCAGATTTTATCTTCCTCTTCAAATTTTCAATGGATCCCTATCTCCAACCACCATGATCAGAACTGATGGGAGTTGTAGGCAACATTTCGTTGAACACAGGTTAGGAAGGCTGACCTAGAGCCATACTGGGCAGCCCTAAGCCCATGGGCTTCTTTGGAAAACCCATCCATTCTGCCTCTGGCTCTACCCATTACTGGAATGCACCCCTGCCCAAGCTGCAACCTTCCCCACATCGGAATTTGGCCCTCAGGCTGATAGACACAATTGTAGTCACCCTGCAGTGAGCTCATGATGTCAGTAACAATGTTTATAGCTGATACAATCATGGAGTTCCAGAAAGATCACAGCCACTACATCCATGGACAGGCCGGTTCATACTGTGTACCATGTGAACTGGAACAATAAGCAAGCAAACTGATCCATAATGCAATTCATATCTGGTGAAGAGAAACAATGCCAAGAGTACCAATAGCCATGTGCATTAGACAAAGCTAATGAACAACATTACAAAATATACAAAAAGAAAGAAGAGTTATGGTTTCAATTCTATGCACAGTTACTGTCCTGTTGGAATTCATGCAACCTACTTCTGAGTAGATATGCACAGGGTCTCTTTGTTAAGCATTCAAATGTAGCAGAATGTGCTTTTACACATCAAAATTTTGGACATGCACATGGTGGGCATGTCGTGAGCGGAGCTGGCTGGAGGCGGGGGTCAGACTAGATGGCTCGGGAGACCCCTTCTGACTTGCTCTGTTTCTATGTTTCTAAAATGTTCCTTGATGCATGTATTTCCAGAAGAAAAGGATGGCATGTGCTCTCTCAGTCACCCAGAGGAACACTCAGTAAAGCAGAAAGCCCTGCTTTTGAAACTGTATAAAGGAAACTGATTGCCCTGCTCAGGTTAAAAGCAAGTAAAACTAGGCAAGACTTATCCTGTATTGTAGAAGATTGAAGGGAAAGTATTCAAAATGCAGAACATTTCAGATTTGGTTTCATTTAAAAGGGGGGCCGACAGTCAAGTGATTACTGTCAAATTATCACGACCATTGAATATTTTGTACTAAAAGCCATCACAAGGTCCCACCTCATTTTCCATGCTTTATACAAAGATCTGTATTCACCTATTTGAGCAGGATTAAAAAACAAATCTTTCATAATTTAGATATACATTTATAAAATAATTTTTCATCAGTAACATTTATCTCTATTCTGATGAGTACGCAATTCTCACCAATAGTGTCCATCCTGTTTTGGAAGTTCTGGAAATCTAAAGATAATGTTGCTGATTATGGCTGATTTTTCAAATTGGAAGTGAGCCACTGAAGGCCCATGTGCCTTATTTGGACTGCCAGTGCTTCCCCACTCCAACACATGCAGCCCAGCTATGGCTGTTCATTAGCAGCTGAATGATTCTGGAGTTGTCCATGAGCATACATGCCCTTTCCTTGCTTCATTTCAAATTTCAGATTCACGACAGAAGCATGGGTATGAAAGTTCCATTTTGCTGATTAGAACTGGACCTGAATGTAATGCCTCCCTATTTTGGTGCTGATTGACTTGGTCACTCTAAATATTTCATCTTATGACCCTGGACTGTACCCACAGGTCCGCTCCTTTATCTAAAAATATCCCAGCCAAAAATTGCACAGAAAAGGGTAGTTCTGAAAAGTATGCGGGGACACAAAACACACCATGGTCTGTTCAAGGCCCAAATATGTTAAAGTGGCATCGATCTGTCCCTTCAAGACCCAGGAATGACACCTGTATTCATCAGATATACTAGGAGAAGTGGCCTGCCTCTTTGGGATCCCACTACCCTTACTTTTTTTAACCTCTGAACATGAGGGGCATGTTCTGCATTCAGCTCCTCATAGCAAGCCCACATGCTTTCAGCAAACTACCTCACTGTTGCAAAGCCTTGCAGGCTGGCATTTGTTATGGTGTCATTAAAATTCCCAGAAGCTTGGGAATATCTGCTTCCTACAAATGAACTTGTCATAGAAATGTGACTGCACTCTATTCCATTTGAGTGGCACTGGCTAAGCGTCATCAGCCAAGCCTAATTCTAAATCATGCAGCTTTGATCCTTTGAGCTGGACTACGGAGAGTTAGGCTGCCATCCTAAACATGCTTACTGAGAAGCAAGCCTTACTGGAGGCAGTGAGACCAGTCTCTCACAACACACACACACTGTTAGCCATCCAATGACATGTTCAGCCCTTCCATACAACATTCTTAGCATCTAAAGGAGCTGGTTCCGCAGGTGCAAAACTGGATCCCTAACGTAAGGCAAAACACAACAGTTTTACAAGTATTAAAAAGAAACCCTTCACAGTTCTCCTATTTCAGACATTGAGGACTGGTTTGATATCAAGAGAAACTCAATCCTGTAACCTCAGAACATCTGCAAATTTGTGTAACAGCTCTGAAGACATGTCCACCCTTTCCAAAGCCAGTCTGTTTCATGTCTGTGACAGGAAAGAAGGAACTAAAGAATAATGAAAAATCAACCATGCCATTGCACAGTTGAGTGTAAACCTCATTTCAGGTACGACCTCTCTTTCTCTCGGGACAGGTGAGGCAACCCACCTTATGGAAGAGACGTTGGGCAGTGAGCATGAAAAGGGCAATGATTTAGTTTCTTGCTGTATTTGTACTTCTCTGGGAGGAGCCATTTGGATTTTCTGTCTCAGGCACCAAGAAGTCTTGGACTGTTTCTGATCATGTTTTGTCTCTCCCTGAGTAAACTTCCATCCCCAACATATAACCTCGCTGATTTCCCCCTTTTCCCTTTTTTTTATTTTGGCAAATTACTCAGTCGCACATAAGGCAACTTCCTCTCTTGTTTTTCTCTGCTGCCATCTTTGTCAACTTAGATTGCACAACATTTCTCACTGGAGACCAGCCCTTGGATGGGTGCCTGGACATGTTGAAAATGTGGTCCCCTATAAACAGAAATCAGGCTTGCTGGTGCAAAGGCAGTCTTAAGTCTTCATATATTTTGAGATCTTGAGGATTTCAGCTGAACAGATTCAAAACGGTCTTCTTTTTCCTATTTCGCAAAAAACAAGAATTAAGAGAGAACAAACCAACAAACCAAAAATGGTGCGACAGGGCAGGACTTTAGGGCAGATGTCCAGGGTCCAACTCAGCAGAAAAAGCAAAAGGAGCCCCAGACATGAAATCATCATATTTTAAACTATGTCCACCAAAGAGGTCATTCTCAGTAAAATGGCTAAATCCACAGTGTAAAGTTAGCTGATGCAGACAGATACAGAGTGGAAGACATAATTGATATCCTGTTCATACACAGAGTTCCTGGCTATCTCCCTTACAAGGAACTGATTCAGGCCTTGCCTCCTTAGCTTCAGCAATGCTGCAGCCTCAGATGTAAGAAAAATCAGGGATGATTTAGCTGGCCAATTCTCTAAATTCTCTAAATTCTCCAAATTCAGTTCAATGTTCCATTCAGCTTTCTGTCATTCTCATTGGGGGATTATTTTCCCCACACTGGCTAAGGTGTGAATAAAATTGGTCGTTTTAAAAGTACACACTTCCACTCACTGACTAACATGTGGAAATGCCAGTTTTTAAAAACACACACTTTAAACCATGCATTTTCGAAAGGGTGCATTGGTTCATCTGCATATTTATTTCAGTGCACATTTTATGAACATGAATATGAGCTTGGGAATTTGCAATCATTTTTGAAGGACAGGCACTCCCATTCATGACAAAGGTGGTGAACAGGGATTTTTGAGTGATTTACGAGCTAATACAAAGTGCTCTACATCCCTACTCAAACGGTCCCAGACCACTCAGTGGGTCCATTAAATGGCAGGTTATGCTATTCTGTAACATCCTATGCTATTATGCTCCGAACAATAATTACCTTTGTTGCCAATGATTTGAGTTTTCCTAGTAACGACTGTTTATTAGAATATACTATTTCCTCTTCATTATCTTCCCCTTCCATGATAGCACAACTGTCAGCAGCTGGGAGCTCACATTCTTTTGAATTTGCTGTCATCACCAGCTTGGAATATTTATACTCCAACCTGAAGAAATAAAAGTAGACAGTGGCATTTTCATCTTCACAAACACACCGTATATTCTAACACACAGGCAGGTTAGACAGTATCAGTTTCCCTGTGACTATGTGAAAGCATTCAAGGAGGCCAGAGGGCAGGAAAGGATTACACACTCTGCAAAAAGTTCCCAGTACATCATCTTAGGAGGCCCATCATTCTTACTTCTGATTCTTCTTCCAGAAATAGCAGGTTAAGGCAATCAGCAGGACACCTGTGAAAGCACCAACACCAGCACCAACTTTCAGCCAAAAGTCCATCGTTTCACAAATGATTATCTTTTTTTCGGGCAAGGAAACCCCTTTTATACATAGCTTTGGTTCATTCCATACATACAATGTTTCCTACAAAACAGAGAGGAAGAGAGAGAACCAAAACTTAAGACTACAATTCTAAATACTTAACTGGGAGTACATTCCAGTGAATTCAGTGGGACTTATTTCTGCATTGAGACATAGATGATTGCATTAAGTCAGCCACTTCCAACAACTGCTTACATGTCCTATGCATTACAGTCTTAAAATAGTGAAAGGCCTCGGTGAATCCAAATTCTGAGGCTGCTCACCACTCTGGCATTGCTCCTTTTAAACTTTTCAATCAGTTGCCACTGATTGGGTACTTGGCCTACCTTCATTGAAGAGACAGACTATGGATCACCTGGAACAGTCTGCTTTTCTGTTTTTAACAAGACTTCCTACATTTGCAAAGCAAGAATCCATATTCTGGATTGCAGAATTCATAAGATACAACTGGTACAATGGGTAAGAATCTGCCTTAGAACAATTATGAATATGCCCTCGTTGCTTAAGAATTTTGAAGCACCTTGCTGAGCTGAAAGACCAAGTTCAACCCTATTCCGGACTCTCTGAGAGAATACAGTAAGTTGTATTTCTGTCGGAGAAACTTAGAAGCTGAGTCAGATCATTGGTCCATCTCCCCTAGTATTGTCAACACTGACTGGCAGTGGCTCCCGAGGGTTTCAGGCAGGTTTCTTTCTTAGGCCTACCTGGAGCTGCCAAGGATTGAACCTTGGACCATCTACGTTCAACACAGGGTTAGAGTCCCTCCCACCCTAGCCTCTGAATTCATGGCAACTGACAGCAGATATCAATATACATCTCTGTCTCCAAAGGGTTCACAATCTATGTCAAACGAGCTTATGGTCAACAGGTGGACTACATCCCACTACCTGGACTACACTACAAGTTTGATGCAAATATCTATCATGCTTAAAGCAAAAGCTGAGTATGTTATTGTTTTATACAGTGTTTTATGTCTCAACTGATACAGGGAGGGAAAAGAGAAGTACCAAACTCTAAAATTATATAACTTATTTGCCCTATTAAGTGTTTACAGGAAAGGTTCTGAAAACAGGAGTGTATGATTGTGCTCATGTGCTGCTTGTGGGTATCTCATAAGCAGCTGCTTGGTCATCAGGGGAAACAGGATGCTAAACTAGATAGACCTTTTGTCTGATCCAACAGGATTCTTGTTACATCCCAATCCTCTTGGCAGGATCACATGATACAGCCAGCCATGGCAGTTTCTTGAGTAGGATGGTCTGTTGTGTCATCTGGACCCTGTCATGGTACTTCAGCATGGTACATTTGCTTTTTAAAATTCGTAATAAGAAACAATAGCTGGTTCTATTGTTTTAAACATTTAGATCGGCTGGACATGCACATGGTAGGCATGTCATGAGTGGATCCGGACAGAGCCAGGAGTCAGACTAGATGGCTCAGGAGGCCCCTTCTGACTCACTCTGTTTCTATATTTCTATAGTTTCCATGCTTCACCATACTCTCTCTGGCCATCCAATCTTGGCATCACGATTTCCATGGTCCTGGCTAGCAGCTATCGCAAAGTTACCTGGAAAGAGATGCAGCTGCAGAAACTGCTCCAACCATCCAGCATGAGATATAATTTCAGGCACGGTAGATGATGAAATATGTACCAACAGTGGGAGGACTAAGCAAGGAGCATAGAAACCATGCTAGTTCAAGGCTAGGCTAGACATGCATATGGTAGGCATGTCGTGAGCGGAGCCGGCTAAAGCCAGGGGTCAGACTAGATGGCCCGGGAGACCCTTTCTGACCCGCTCTGTTTCTATGTAGCATCCACTTGGTCATCTGTCAAGCACATGCAGGCCAAGAAAAGTGCACTATGGAAAGCACACAGGTTTGCTTGTCATGGCATGTGAACCCAGCCCTTTTCTCTTTCTATTTCTTTTGCAAGCTTTAGAATTATCGTTTGAATCTCCATATTTTTTCCATCAGTTCCTTACCTGGTGTCCTTTTTTACAAGCACCCTCAATTTCATGATAGTCTTGTTCTGTACACATGGGACAGGCTTCTGCACTTTCCCACAAGAAGTAGAATGTACAGCCATCACAGGTACCTGCAGGGCAAGAACTAGAAGAGAGATGCTGGGTGGGTTGGTCTTATATATTCAAAACCAGAAAGGTTACTTGACCTCATTCCCAAATAATAATTTCCAGATATAGGATGTTATCCTGAAAATGATGCCCATGCACAGAGAAATGTGTGCGCACACACAGTCACTGTAATATCTAACTATGTCCTGGGAATGAAAAATAACAACAAAACTCTATGGTCAAATCACTGCTAGCTACAAGCCTGACCACATGCAAGTCAATTCTATCACAGAAGAAATGTTGCCACTTGGAGGCCAAAATCTGTCATAAACGATTAGACATTAGGCTGACTCATAATGGGAGCCGGCTGGTGCCGGAGGTCAGACTAGATTGCCCAGGAGACCCCTTCTGACTCGCTCTGTTTTCTATGTTTCTATAGTTCTTGATACTACGTTGCACAATTACAGAATATGCAGCTAAGTTCCCTCACATGAATTGCCTTCATCAAAAAGAAAAATGTCTGGATTTGCATAAGAACACAACCCATGAGTTGTTGCCTGATAAGAATACATAAAAACGAAACCCTGATGAGTTGCAATGTCATGCAAACCCAGACCAATCAGCACAGGGTGGGTTGTTTGAAGCAACCAAGGCACCTGATATCTCATGGATTGTTCTAGTTGTCCCCACAATGCATTGTTGTGTTTGCTTCAAGCACAGCAAAGTTGTTTGAATCAGATGGCTGACCCCATCATGGGTACCAGCAATTGGACAGCAAACATCTGAACAAAAGCAGCAAAACTGTTTTCTCATTCTTGCAGAGCTTGTCTGGACACCTGCCAGTGCCTGTTATCCCAAAAGTGCCCAAGTGGCACTTGGGGACAACTAGTACAGGCTTGTTGTCCTCCCCACAGTAATCGCAACCTGTTTTCAGGTTTTTTCCCTTTATGTTTTCTAGGGGCCTAATATTCCCTGCTCCCTTGTAACAAGGGAAGCCATGTCAGCCAGTGGTGATCAGAGATATTGGAGCAACTTGTAACTTTCTGTAGGAGGTGTCTGCTGTCTTGGTGACCTTGTTGTATAGCATATCCTATCACAGTATGACCCTAAATGAGCTAAAGTGAAGGAGTCTCTTTTTAATTAGAGAAATCCTGCAAGAAGCAGTGCAGGAGCTCCTTCTCATGTAAAAACATCCAAGTTACTTCAAATGAAGCCAAAGATATTTCCATGTATCAGCAGGGAGTCTTTTTGGGAAGGGATAAGCAGGTGCTGCACATTCACTGGGTGCCTCTAGATGTCACCTGCAAATGTCACTGAAAGGCATAGGTCCTCAAACTACGACCCGCGGGCCAAATCTGGCCCACCATGCCCATTTATCTGGCCCACCATAGAGGTTTTGGACTCGCCACATGGCGGTGGCTCACTCGTGTGGAGATCATTTTGGACTCACTGGGAGAAAAGGATGTCTGCGTGTGCCCGCCCCTGCCTCACCGTGCCCGCACGCACCCCTGCTCCAGCCCGGCCCGGCCCGTACCCTCCACCCGCACCGCCTTGGTGGCCCACGCCCATCGCCGGCACCTTACAACTGACCCCATTTTGAAATAGTTTGAGGACCCCCCCTGAAAGGGAATGTGGAGGTTCTTCAGGCATATTGGAAGAATTTCACAGAAAGCCAAACCACTCTTGAGCAGTGTAGCAACACTGCTCAGTGCAAGTAGATGTCATGCATTCCCAGTTACTGTCAGTCATCCTAACCAGTACCTGGGAACTGACATTTCTCCTTGGCCAGGTTTTGCAGGGTTACATCTCATTGTCACAACAGAAGCACGCCCGTTTTCACAAGTAGCTGTGGTTCCTGAAGACCTACATAGAAATGAGAACAGGTATTCATTCAAATTAATATTTCTGATTTATTGTTATAACATGAGACACTTGGGCACTTGCCTTGTAACATACAGTATACACCTTTTCCTTGTCCCAAGGAAAAAAAATCACGTAGACTGTTTTTACATCTATTGTTGTGAGTGACCCAAAGGGTATAAATGTACATAAAGGATATAAATTTATATCCAAAGGATATAAATAAACAAATAAAAATAAAGTTGGTACATCAAAGAAAACTGAGGAATAGAATGCCCAAAAAGCTGAGCACAAACAAAGGTTGGACCTGAATTTCAAAGCTAAGCCACAAAGTTTACCTGATAGAAGCACAACAAAACATCCATTTCACAAAAGACAATCCATCTATCATCCATCCTTCCTCTGCCCCTTCTCTCTCTCTCTCTCTCTCCCCCCCCCCCCCATATACACCTTACCTATCTATCCTACCTATCCTTCCTTTCTAAAGTTGGAATCTCATTATATGTTTGCTTGCATAGATCTACACAGGACTCTTCCACCCATCTGCTCCACTGCTACCCTCTCCAGCCCCTAAAATAAAAGAAAGGGGGCCCAGCCCTGAAAAGAACATGTTAAAATCCCCACCTCTCCCCCAGGGTCACACCCACTCCATTCCCCACAAGGCATTACTGCCTTCTCCTCCTCTGCCTTCAGGGCCTACGCCCCTTGAAAGGTTCCAGGTGGTGGCAAGACTGAGAGAAGGGTCTGGGAAAGAAGAGGGGAAAGTCTAAAGCTGGGAGTGCAGAGAGGATGAGCAAAGGCGAGAGGGTTCTCTGGCAGCAGAAAAGTGGAGCAGGCCAGGAAGAGTCAGGTTACTTACCTGTATCTGTCATTCTTTGAGTGGTCATCTGTGCAGTCTCACATAATGGGTACTGCACCTGCAGCTTCTAAGCCAGAATGCCTAAGCTGCAACGGATTTTGGCGGGAACTCCACACCCCTCCCCGCTGGTGCTATATAAGGTGGAGCACCCGCCATTTTCCTCAGTCCCTGGAGACTGGCAGATTGCCCCCTAGCGGAGCGCGCCGCTCATCAGAGAAGTCGATAAAAAGAGACTGCCATCCCATCCCTCGACACCGAGTGGGGCTGGAGGGTGAGTTGTGTGACCGCACAGATGACCACTCGAAGAACGACAGTTACAGGAAAGTAACCTGACTTTCTTCTTCATGGTCTCTGTGCATCACACATAATGGGTGATTAGTAAGCTTCACTCACTGGAGGTGGGTCGGTGTTGTTAGTGAAGAATGGATGATAGGACGGCCCATCCAAAGGAACAATCTTTCCTGGCCCGGACATCCAGCCTGTAGTGCCTGGTGAAGGTACAGGGAGTTGTCCATGCGGCTGCTTTACAAATGTCCAACAGTGGATCACCCGATGAAAAGGCTGAGAAGGCTGTCATGGCTCTGGTGGAGTGACCCTTGGGCGGAATGGGGAGATCTGTCTTGGCCAGCTGGTAAGCCACTTCAATAGTCTGTACTATCCATTTTGATAGTCTTCGTGCAGAGGGAAGTGCGCCCTTATCAGGTTCGGAGTATTTGACAAACAGGCGCTTAGTTTTCCTGAAGCTTTCCGTACGCGACCGGTAGAAAGCTAAACATCAGTGCACATCAAGGGAATGCAGAGATTTCTCTATTGGGGTGGATGGGGACGGGAAGAATGCTGGAAGCACAATGTCCTAGTTAACGTGGAATGGTGTGGCCACCTTGGGGAGGAACGCCAGATCAGTTCATAGAACTACTTTTTCCTTGTGGAAATTGAGGTATGGTGGATCCACACATAGGGCAGAAAGTTTGCTTGCCCTTCTCGCTGAAGTTATGGCAACAAAAAAGGCTACTTTCCAAGATAGCAGCCTTAACTCCATCGTTGTGAGGGGTTCAAAAAGAGCCTTGGTGAGCACATGGAGAACTACAGATAAACTCCAAGTCGGTACCGATGGACGGATCAGAGGATGGAGATTTTGTAGTCCCTTAAGGAAGTGCTGGATGAGTGCATGGGAAAACACAGATGAGCCCAAGAGAGGGCCACGGAAATGCGATATGGCTGTAATATAGACCTTGATGGAAGTAGGTTTAAGTCCCGACTGATGCAACAAAAGCAAGAAGGAAAGGATATTATCAATGGAAGCTGATTCCAGAGTAAAACGGTTAGCTCCCGCAAACGTGGTGAAACGTTTCCATTTCGCCTCATATGACCAGCGAGTGGACAGTCAAAGAGCAGACTGTAGGATAAAATCAATTTCCTGCCGCTCTGACGTAGCTTCGGAGGATAGTCGGGTGAGTTCTCTCGATACCGACTGACATTCTTGCGCCAGGACCGAGGAATTTTGTTGGAACCTGTCAGGATCGGTGGAGACAACTAGTGCAGGAGCCACGCTGTGAGTTTGAGAGTGTTGAGATCGAGGTGAAGAATCATCCCCTCCCTTGCGTGATCAGGTGAGGGATTTGTGGCAGACAGAAGAATGTGTGTCTTGATAGTCTGAGCACGGTCAAGAACCAGGGTTGGCAGGGCCACCACGGTGTAATGAGGATCAGCGGTGCTTGGTCCCGGGCAGCCTTCTCCAGAGTACAGGTGATCAACGGGGTCAGTGGAAAGGCGTATAGGGATGAATCCGACCAACTCACCATTAAGGTGTCCCCTAGTGAGTTCGGACCCATTCCTGCCCTGGAGCAGTAGGTCACGCACTTTGAATTCGATGCTGTCACGAACAGGTCCAGAGTCGGGGTACCCCACCGGGTAAACAAGTCTCCGCAAACTTGATTGTCCAATTCCCACTCGTGGGTCAACGACATTTTCCTGCTCAAGGTGTCCGCTTCTTGGTTGTGTATTCCCACCAGATGGATTGCCGTTATTGAAATCCCTCTGGGGATGCACCAGTCCCAAATCTGCATGGATAGCTGAGCCAATGGTACTGATTTTGTACCACCCTGTTTGTTCAGGTAAAAAACAGTAACCGTGTTGTCAGATGCTACCTGTACTGAACGGTTCCATAATGCAGGTTCGAAAGATCATATTGCTTTGAAAACTGCCAGCAGCTTGAGAAAGTTGATGTGATTGAGCCTCTCGTGTGCTTGCCAGGTGCCCTGTGTTCGTAGGTTGGAACAGTGTGCTCCCCATCCCGTGAGAGATGCATTGGTGTGGAGCGAGATGGAGGGCTGTCGCTGGTGAAATGGAACACCGACTGTAAGATTGTCCGGGTTCATCCACCAAGTCAGTGTTTGGCGAACTGAAGCGGGAGAAAGAAGAAGCCATCTTGGGGAATTGCGGAGGGGCTGGAAAACCGCATTGAACCACAACTGGAGTGGCCGCATTTGTAGTCTGGCATTCAGAACTACTACGATAGTTGATGCCATATGGCCTAACAGTTTTTGTATGAGCAGTGCCTGCATTTGCCCGCTTCTCTGGATCCAATGAGCTACAGAGCAGAGTCTGTCCATACGGGTCCATGGCAAAAATGCCCGTGCTCGAACCGAATTGAGTTGCGCTCCTATGAACTCGATGACCTGTGAAGGAGTGAGACAGGATTTTTTGGTATTAATAAGGAGACCCAAGTCCTCTAAAAGAGTGCATGTAAATGTGAACATCTGTAATGAGTCGGTCCTGAGAGGATGAGACGATAAGCCAATCGTCCGAATATGGATAAATTTGAATACCTCGTTGGCAAAGGTGAGCACAAATCGGAGCCATACACTTTGTAAATACCCAGGGGGCTGTAGCAAGTCCAAAAGGGAGCACATTATATTCAAAAATGTCAGAACTGACTGTAAACCAGAGGAATCTCCTATAAAACGGGCGGATGTCAATATGGAAATAGGCATCCTTCAGGTCAATGGACGCGAACCAATCTCTCTCTAGCAGGGGAAGGATATTTTGTAAGGTGGTCATATGGAATTATTATCTTAGTCGTAATAAAGGCACTGATGCCCCTTAAATCAAGTATGGGGCATGAGCCACCATCTCTCTTCAGTACCGTGAAATATCTCAAGTAGAAACCGCAAGGTCCGTCGTAGTGGGAGACTTGGTGGATCGCTCCTTTCTGGAGTAACTGAGATACTTCTGCTCTAAGAATTTCCAATGGGGCAGTGTATAACATCAGACCTGAAGGAGGAATGACATCAAACTCGATTCTGTATCCAAATTCAACTATAGAAAGGACCCATCTATCAGATGTGATGGTCTCCCAAAGAGGGAGTCGGCTTTGCAGCCGGCCCCCACAGGGAGGGGGGAGGGGTATAGGAGAGAGAGGATTGGTTTGCGGTGCCCATCAACATTGCCTCTTATCAGCGGGTTGGCGGCGGCAGCCCTGTTGGTATTGGGCCGCCGGTTGCGTATGGTTCCGCTGTTGTCGCTGCGGGAATTGTTGACATGGCTGGTACCGGTGGTAAGGTTGGTATCTATGGTATCGAGATTGTTGTTGCTGCTTACAACGGTTCGAGCCCGGGATCTCCATCTTCCTGGCGGTAGCTCGAGCATTATAGATATGCTTGAGCTTATGGTCCGTCCAATTGTGGAAGAGGCCCGATCTATCAAATGGCATGCCCTCGATCCTTTTCTTGGTCTCCTCTGGGAAGTTACATGAGCGTAGCCAGGTGTGTCTTTAGAGAGCGTCTGAGCCAACCAGAGCGCAGGAATTGCAGTTGACATGATGGCGGGCTGTGGTGAGCTGCTGGATCGCCAGCTGCATCGCCTCTCGAATGAAAACTCTCGAGAGGTCATGTTGTTGCTCTGGGATGGATGAGGTAATCGCATCCAGCTGCCGCATCAGAAAATACTGATACCTCGCCATCATTGCCTCATAATTAGAAATTCTCAAGCCCAGACCCATCGCCGCATAAATTCGCCTCTCCATAAGGTCAATTTTCCTTCCTTCCTTATCCCTAGGGGCCAAGTGCTCCCTATTGTCTCACCCCTGGGAAGATTCGACCACGATGGAGTTGGGCTTCGGGTGTCTTAACAGGAAGGGAATGTCTTGCTCTCTGACTTTATACATGGACTCGTATCTCCGCGAGTCAATTGCGGTTGATCGGGAGTGATCCATGTATCTTCCATAGCCTCCTGTAAGGTTGTAGTCAGCAGGATGGTGATTGTGGATGATTGTTCCTTACGGACAATATCATAGAAGTTGTCCTTATTAACGTTGGGCTGATGCTCAACCTCGATCTCCAAGGCTCTTGTCAGTCGACCCATAAGCTCACCGAAGGTGGCATAGGACTCTTTGGGCAACCCGGGTCCCTGGGTGAAAATAACTGCCACAGGAGATGTAGAACAGTCATCTGAGTCCTCAGAGTCTGAGTCATATGGGTAAGGTGGGCTTGAGGATGAATGTGCCGGAGAAGGAGAATGGCGAGAAGTCGTTGGCACTGAAGTAGACGGGGCCTCCGCCCTTGATTGTCGGGACCGACGGCCATCTTCCCTTGGCATGTAGTAGCCGTATGGGGGTGGTCCCCAGTATTGAGGCTGCGATGCCTCCGGTTCTTCGTACGGCATCGGTACCCATGACCTGGTGGATTATCCCAATGAGCGACGCTGCGGGTTGGGCTCAATCGCCGTAGTCCTCCTGGAAGCCTCCAGGGAGGATGGCATCAGGGTCAGCGAACGGGCCGGCTGATGGCACGGCAAGGACCTTGGGCGAGAATCACGGATCTCCGTCCGACATCAACCCATGAACGATCGGTTTGGGTGGATGTAACATAATCGGGTCCATGAGCTCAACTCTCTGTGGGGATCCTGGTGGCGTGACCTGCATCATCTCCCTCGGTGTTGGTGCCAAGGCTGCTGGAACCGATGGTGCTGTCTGGACCAACAAGGCAGTCGAATCCAAGTCCCTTCGTGGTTCCAGGGTGGGCCTACGTTTCTTAGTAGCCTTGCCTGACTTATCCTTTTTGACCTTCTTCAGGACCAACAGATCCCCGTGGTTGGAATGCTTCCATTTCTCCTTTTGTTTGAGCAAGGAGTGGGAGGTCTCCTTGGAAGCAATTCCCCCGGATGATCGAGGGGAGGTTACCATGGAAGGCCCGGTCAACATAGGCTGAGCAGCGAGCTCGTCAGAGGCTAGTAAGGTCTGATCCCAAAGGATCTTTCTCAGCCTATTCTCTCGATTCTTCCTAGCCTGTTTGGTAAAGGCCAGGCAGTGCCTGCACTTGTTGGTGCGATGTCCTTCTCCTAGACAAAGGAGGCAGAGTTCGTGTGGGTCCGCTAGGGACATTTTAGCCCCACATTTCGAACACTTTTGAAACACTGCACACTGAGCCATCGAGATCAGAAGGGAAATAGTGAAGATGAGGAAAAAGAGGAAAAATACTAACTATTATTTTATATATATAGAGAGAGAGAACAGTAAGGAAGAAAGAAGTAACCAGGAAAACAAGGGAAAAGAACTTGGATTCAAAGAGTAAGAACGATTCTAGAACAAACAAGTAAGTACGAGAAGACAAGGTAATGGCTCAAGGCAAAGCGATTGGCGGTCAAAAGAAGACTGAGGAAAATGGCGGGCGCTCTGCCTTATATAGCACCAGGGGGGCGGGGGGCGGAGTTCCCACCAAAAACCTTTGCAGCTTAGGTATTCTAGCTGGCAACAGGCACTGCGCAGGCGCAGTACTGATTATGTGTGATGCACAGAGACCACGAAGAAGAACAATGCTTTCCTCCTGTTTCCACCCGCCAAACAGGCACAACCTGATGCCACACAACTTTTTTCAAGTTTTTTAATCAATTTCTGAAGCAGGTTAGGAGCAAAGAACGTTGCATGAACAGTTGGAGGTTTCCAGTGGTGCCATTGTGCCATATGGCTCCATTTCAGAGATAGCAGCATTACGTTGTAGTAGTTCTGTGTGTGTGTGTGTGTGTGAGAGAGAGAGAGAGAGAGAGAGAGAGAGTCTAATCAGTTTACTCACTTGTAATAGAAATGCACATCAGGCATCTTCCTCTCTGAATGCTCAAATATTTCTGGCTTGGCATTAATATTTCCCAGTGTTGTTTCAGAGGTAGCACCTGCAAGGGAAACAGATGTTATTATTTATTATTACTACATCACATTTATATCCCTCCTTTATTCCTCTTGTGAGGAATCCAAGGCAGCTTAAATAGCTCCATTTTATCCTCCCCAAAACAACCCTGTGAGGTAGGATGAGGGCTGAGAATCTGTGACTGCTACAGGGTCACCCAGTGACCTCTGTGACCAAGTGGGGACTAGAATCCAGCTCTCCCAGTCCAACACTTTATCTACTTTATCTACCATGCCACATTTGCTCTCATTTATAGAAGTATATTAAAAACTCTAGTTTAAAATAATATACACTCAAGAAATACTGAGGGTTTGTTTGGAAATGATAATATATCACGATTTAATACACAAAATGCTGTCACGCTGCAATATTTACTTTGTTACCATGAAATTGATCCAGTGTCTGAGGCAAAGTTGTTTCAGAACTAGACACAGTTCCTGGTACTCAAATGCTATTCACAAAACTGTTTGTTGTCCTTTTCATATTTAGATTTATTAAAAGTAAAAAGAAAGAAAAGCTTGTGAGACTGAAGTGCAACTAAATATTTAAAAGCAAGAATGAAATATACATTGTAAGAGCAGTGTTATTCACTATGCACCAGGGCACTGTGGACTTCATTTAAATCTGCGCTGAGCATCTACATCTTTCCTGTACGTCCCCACTTTTACTCAAAGGAGGGTGTAAGGCTCCTCGTTTGGACAGGACCTCAGCAAAATGGAAGGGGGCTTTTAGAATCGGGGGTTTGCACATACTCTAGAGTATTTTTAAGCCCCTGTTAGATGATTATTATTATTATTATTATTCTTCCTTCTCTTTCTCCTCCTATACTTTTATTTTATACTGATAATTTTAATTTTGTATTTGTAAATCAATGTATTTTTGTATTGTTATATTTAATGGTAATTTATTATGTACTATTGTATTTCAATGTATTTTATCATGTTGTAAGCCGCCCCGAGGTTTCGGCAAGGGGCGGCATAGAAATGTTATAATAATAATAATGTTATAATAATAGAGTATTTTTAAGCCCCTGTTAGATGCAGATTTCTGGGAATGTCTGTTTTGTCCCCAAGTGAGCTTCAGCATGGGGCTTATGAAAAGAGATGCTCACTTTAATGTTCATCTAGGCAACCAACTAATGCATTGAAGTTTTAATAGATGGTTCCAGGGGGACCAATTTTAAGCAGCGGAGTGTTAGCAGTACAGCAGAAAAGAGATTTCACTCATGTTTGGCATGATGTGCTCCTGTCACTATAAGGAATTCAGCTGGGCAGTGAACATTAAGTTGAGCTTGAAGAGCTTGCATCTCCAGCTGACTGGAAAGGACTTCGTTAGCAATCTTGTCATGACACCCTTTGCATCTGGTCATGTAGGCAGCAAGAGAGGAAAAAATGCTACATCGCATAGCACCAAGCTAAATACAGTGGTACCTTGGTTCACGAACTTAATCTGTTCCACGACTCTGGTTGTGACCCAAACTGGTTGTGACCCAAGTCAAATTTCCCCATAAGATTCAATGTAAATAAGGTCAATCCGTTCTGGCCCCTCCGAATGTGGTTGTGAGCCAATTTTTGGTCACAAGCCAAGTCAAATTTCCCCATAATGTTCAGTGTAAATAAGGTTGATCCATTCTGTAACTCTTTTTTTTTTATCAGAAATTTTGAAACAAAGTGACAAAGAACAACAAAGTAACAGAGTACTGTACAATACTGTGGATAACACTAACCTAGGTGTGGGGGGGGGCAGATTATTGTTTTGAGGAGAGTCCCCCTCCATAAGGACATTGGGAAGATCTCTTTCAGGGGTTTCCTCTCTTCTTTGTCTCTTAGCTGCAGGGTCAATGTTGGTGACAAATCTGTCTATAGTCACTTGTTTTTTCCTGAGCTGCATAACCCTCCAGAAATGAGAGACCACGTTATCGTTCGTCAGATTCAACACTCTGTTCATTACAGTTATGCTGGGGTGGAGCTTCACAGAGACATCCTGGCACTCACTCCATTTTTTCATATTGGATTGTATCACATCACTGCTAACCTCCTCGCTGTCTTCCTCTTCCTCAGTGGAATCCTCCTCAGCAAGTGCCTTCTGCTGCTCACTCTGGAGTTCAGCAAGTTCTTCTGTCGTCAGCTCCTCTATGTCTTCCCTGCACAAATGCGATTGCGATCGTGGCCACCTCCCCACTTGGGGGTGGGGAGATGGCTGCGATCGTGCTGGTTGGGGAGGGGAGATGGCCGAGATTGTGCCCGTCTTTCCTGCAGGAGCGCAACCGTGATCACTCATGTCTTCCCTGCACAAACAGAAACTGCAATCATGGCCATCTCCCCACTGGGTGGGGGAGGGAGATGGTCGTGATCTTGGTTGCCACCCAATGCGGAGTTCACGATCCAAGTCAAAATGTTCACAAAATTTTTGTTCATGGCCTGATTTGGTTGTGAACCAAGATGTTTGTGAGCCGAGGCACCACTGTACCTCATGATTAACTTGGGGATAGCAATACATAGGGGAAAAAAGCAAGCAAGGAGCTCTGTCCCTCCAGGGGGTTACTTGAAATTGGTGCTAAGTGAAGGTAGACACTTCTCACCTACAAGCACTGCAATTGCTGAGAAGTGTTGGGGTGAATGGATTTGAGTACATCCCAGTTCTACTGTCTGCTGTGCTCAAAGCAAATATCCACTCTTTGTTTTATCATCCCCAGCTGGATTCTTTTGTCAAAACCCTGGATATCAAGCCCACAATGTTTATGATACCTGGTGCAACCAGTTCTCTCAGTCTCACTAGCACCCCAAAATCTGGTACCCCATGCCAGGGTAGTCAACCTTTTTTGGACAGTAGGCAATTTGGCAAACTCTCTGATTCTTCTGCCTTGTGCTCCACCACCAAATGGGTACATTGCAGAAGAAAGCAATGGCCTTCAGCCACCTGCCATTTTTGCTTCCTTATAATGCCTTTGACCTGTCCCTGCCCCACAGTCTGTCTGACAGGTGACCATGTCAAGAGAAGATGGAAGCATCTACAGGCCCCCACTCACTCTGAAATGATCTCAGCTGCCAGTAAGAATCTTTGTTAGGAAAAGTGGAAAGGGTGGGGCACTTTGGTGGACCTCAAGAGAGATGTACACTGGTGTGCATGGGTTGCACACTGTCTACTCCAGTTATATGCTCTTGGATTGTGTGGCAAACCAATTGGTCTTGATTGCATCCTTTGATTCTCATTCCTTCACTGAAATCATATGGAGCAGACTTCTGGGATTCTATCATACAGCCTCATAAAACCCTATTTCAGTGGAACATGAGTTCTGGCTGTCTACTGTAGCTGAAACAATGCCTGGAGGCATGCTGGAAGTTGTAGCCCAAGTATCTGGAGGGCCACAAGTTGCCCACCTAACACATTTCTCATGGCATCTGCATGAAATGTTAACCTCAAGTTGGCAAGTTCATACATGGACTTGGGGGTGAACGAAATTCATTGTCTACAATTTGGACCTGTGGACAACTTGTGGCCCTCCAGATACTTTGACCTACAACTTCCCTCACCATTGGATATGTTGCTTAGGACTGATGTGAGTTACAGGCCAAACATCTGGAGGACTGCCCATTCTGGCTTCTGCCATTAAAATTTTCATTTTAAAGTGTCACAAGACTTTGAAGTTTCATCACAGATGGATAAACCTTCTGGGCCTTCAATGTACAAAAGCAAAGCATGGCAAACATGCCCTCCCATGTTCTCTCAAATGTCAACACAACTCTGAAGGCTGCAAAAGGTAATCACTGGCTTAGGCTAGGAATCTGTAAGGAATACACTTTGGGGATGGGAATCTGTCAGATTTCCTCAGCTCTGCTCCCTAGACTCAGGCCCACTTTCTCTGTTCCCCAAGACTGCTCACCCCAAGCATCGGCATGATGCTTGATACAACAGGAATCAAGTTCAAACAGAGTTCTGCTTCAACACATGTGACTGGTGGGTTTTGTGTACGTTGCAGAAAGATGTATTTTCCATATCTTGCAGAAAGAATTACATGCTTTGCATAAAGAAAGCACTAGCATTCCCAAACATTTTCTGGCTTGCTCTCAGCTCAGCTGGCTTCCTGGCCAGGACCCATCATGGGAAACAAATCTAGCAAGCTCAAAAGATCCAGATTCTGGCCTGATTTTTGCATCATAGTTTGGGCCATATAACCTCCTCCTCTCCTTATGGTCAAAGCACTTACCCAAAAATGTGTCTGCAAGGCTGTTGGACTGAAGTGCCAAAGCAGTTCGGAATCCCTTGCTATCAGGTGGTATAATTGTAGACTGGCAGACAAAGGCCCTCACAATGTTGGAATAGTCTTCAGATTCAGCTACCATATCCTTAAGTGTGATATCTGTTATATTGTCAGCACAAATTGCAATCTTTTCTCCCTGTGAATTTTAAAGGGCAGGGAGCAGAAATAAACACAGGGCTTCCATGCAGGATTTCCAAACATCTTGTAATTTAGGGATTACATGCTTCTCACCACAACTCGAAGCTAATTTGCCAACAAACTGGGGAAATAAGCCACATAAACTGAAATGTAAAGCAAATTAATGTAGCTCACCTTACAAAGTGTCAAACACTCAGGCCCCTCCTGTCTGTCATGCACATGTGCACACACACACACACACACACACAAATACATATTTAATTAGAATTAATGTTCAGAAATGGCATAAAAATAGATTCACCAAGTGGGCATGATGCTTTCTAGCAGGACATTAAATATTGCCTTCCAAGTTAAGTGCATTCTGGCCTACCTAAGGGAGGCTTAATATAGGAATTTGGGGAATGAAAAGAATATGGCTGTAAGCCATCCTGGGACGTTTTGTAAAGGATGGAATATAAATATTGTTTAAAAAATAAATAAAAATAAATACCTTTAGTGGATGGCAGAAAAAGAAGAGCTTTAGCAGGCAGTGTCAGACTGTGTAACTGCAAACAAATTTTAGGCCCCATTGGTCTTCCAAATAAACTGATGTGAAACTTCTTTCTCTTACCCAAATATGGCACAACTTCTTGCAAATGCTGCCCTGCAGATGGCCAGCATTTTACAGTAACACAAAAGAAATTTAATGCAATATAAATGGGGCAGCACAGAATATTCTCCAGGGTTGGTTTTCAAATTGAAAATTCCAAATATGGTTGAACAAACTAATTGCCCCAAAACATTTTGTGAAACTTATCACCTTTTAAAATTCTGTTTGGTGCCCCAGTTTTGGCTCCTTTAGTAGGATTTTTTGCCTGACTGCTGGTGCTTTTTACTTTTTGGGTGGTTCATCCAAACCCATAATCACTCAGTAGCAAGATGGTGCTACACAACCAATCAGATTTGGTTATAGGATCAAGTCACTGAAGACAAATCAGGGGACTAGAGTGTGGAAGCCACACCTCTGGGTCAGCACCAAAGGAGTCACTTTGTTAATGGAATGATGCACATGCTACATAGCCAGCCAGTTTGGCTATATGATGATGCCAGAGAGTGGAAGAACACCAGGAAAACCAGCATTTCTCAAATAGTGGCAAAACTGTCCCCCATCCTGCAAAAAGATGCATTTTTCAACACTGTCAACAATATTTGACAAACAAAATGGCATAGCAATCCACTTAGGCTGAAAAGATAGCTCGCTCTTGGCACAGAGCTCCTGCCACAAATGACATCCTTCTGTTGACTTCTTTTCCTTTTAACTTTCTTAAGAGTACAATGCTATTCAGATCCTATTTAGACAGAAATATAGCCCTGCAACTACCAGTATGCCGTACCAACTATACTGAGCTAGATGGACAAAAGGCCTACTCCACTGCAAGGCATCCTCCTATGTCCTGTGAGTAGGAATGCTCAGGTTATGACATTGAAGTATGAGATACTTGATCTTAGCTGTAAGAGAACAGGCCTCTTAGAAAGGCCTTCACTCACTTGGTTTCCACACAGGCTGATATTGAAGAAATGGAAGAATTTTGTTCCTCTTGCCGTAAAGCTTGGTCCATTCATTAGTGAGCCTACTCTGCTCAGGTTGCTAAAATCATAAGTCAGGCTCCGATTGTCCTTGAAGTATGACAGCATGCAGTCGCTAAAGCATGCTGAATGGTCCTTAGAAAAGAAAGCAAAATGGAGGGGAATTGTGGCAGGAATGCAGCAGGTTATCCAGTTGTCAACTAGATTTAGGAAGAAACAGGGAGCAAATCTGCATAAATGGGCATTACACTGGCAGTGGTTACAAGTGTCCAGGATTCAAGAACACCATCAGGTCCACTGCATTTGTAATGCTGTAGGGCCACACTTTGAAGGGTACCAGGAGATACTTCTTCCAGAAGATGCTATTTTCTATAATGAACATAGAAAATTAATATAAGAGAAATATAAATAATTGTAAGCTGCCCAAAGAATCTCATGGCTAATGGGGCAGGATAAAAGTCTAATATATAATAGATACTGTACTATATATATAATACTATAATGGTATGGTATGGTATAGTTTTCTTTGTTACTTAAAAAATAAACATGTCTGCCACATGCTTGACTTATTTGACTATTTCAGAAAATATTTTGACAGTATTGGATCAGGGTCTTGGGCTGGTCAAATGTCACCCCCTGCTGTAAAATCTGTAACAGACAAAGGCTGACTTTATAAAGCCGTAAACGTCATGTGACTAGACCATGGATGGGGAACTTCTCATCTATAGGCCTAATCTAAGCAGCAAAGGTTCCCCATCTAGCTCCTTGGATTTTGCCAGGGGACAGGGCCTAGTATCCAAGCCTCATCCCCTGAAGGAAGCCCCAGAGCTATTTCCCATGGGGACAATGAGCAGTGGCATGCAAAGCTTGGGACTCAGCCAGTGCTTGGAGGAGCAGCAGTTCCTATTAGAACCAGCTAAGTCCCTTTCTCCATGCTGACAGAACAGGACTCCACACTCTTCCAGCACAGAGAAATGCAAAATAAGTGGAGCAGAGTGATGACATCAGTGGGCACAACCACACCTATTGGTGTAATCAGCTCATAAAGAGTCTGGTCAGAGGCAACTTGGTCTAAAGAAGCTCTCCAATCCCTGAATTAGGCAGATTCACAGAAAATAGTCTACTGACTTCGACAATTAAACTCCATATTCTGTGTCAGCATGTGAGTGACTGCCAGATGATGGCGGCATGCAGCACAAGTTTACTCTTCCCATTTTTGCGTTGCTTGTGAGCTTCCTCCTTGCTTAGCCACTGTTGGAGAAGAGATTGCTGGACTAGATGGACCATTGACTAGATCCAGGCCATTGTTAGGATGTTCATTTACGAAAATCAAGACTACTTAAGACATTGGCCTACCTTGGTACTTTGACTGCCAGGTCCACATGGAATACATGCTTCTTGGCCATACACTTGATGAATGGACAGGTACGTATCGGGAGGACACTCCTTGCACTGGTTGGTTTTCTTTTCTATATAGTGTCCAGCAGGGCAGGGAATGCAGGAGGAGCCAGACTGTTCTGAGCCAACAGCACAGGCCCGGCAGGATGAGGCCACGCCGTCCACTGCATTGGTCACAATGATCGAATAGATCTTTGCCACGTCATTGATGAGCTTCCTGCTCTGTAAACAAGGCAACAGGGGAGGGAAATTACACAGCTGCTACTGTTAGGACATACCCAATGTGTTTCATCAAGGGCACAGCCTCTACCTTTGGCATTTTTGGTATTATCACTACAAAATGGTAAGCCCAGCAATAGAGAGAAGGTAGCCCGAGCAGCTCTTGCAATTAAGTAGGGCAGTGGGGTGATTCTGCTGTCACTGATCTAGAACAGTGGTGAGGAACCTCTTTCCGCATGAGGGATACATGCACTCCAAAGCAGCTGAGAGGGAAGCATGTGAACCAGCCAAACCCTGCAGAGGGCAGGTCAGGCCCAGGTCCACAAGCGGCTGCATCGCACCTTTTACCTTTGCCACCCGCCTTTATTCCCTCTCTGCCTCTTCCTTCCCATGCAGTGAGCGACAGGAAGGGGACAGATTGATCTTGTATCATTCTCAAGGTTCACCAATAGGCTAGGAAGTGGCCGTTAGCTGAATGAGGGGGCTGACTTCCTAGAAGCTGTTATGCAGACCAGTGGAGTTTGCTGGGTTTTGTAGCCAAGGAAAGGCAGTGGACTAGTTATTTGTTTGTTTGTTTATCTTCACCCTGCCCTTTCTGCAAGGGGTTCAGGTCAGGGTAGCATACAGTCTTCTTCTCTCTTCCCACTCTAGGCTGCCTAGAACATGGACATGTTGGGAACAAATAATTGAGGACGGTGATGGTGTTTGGCAGGTGAGAGGTCAAAGAGTGCTGAAAGAGCTGGGAGATATCCAGCCATCTTCACTGCAACACAACTGTAACTTCAAACAACTACATTCTGTGGCAGTTTTCAACACACACAAACCTTTATAGATCTTGTCATCTAACCATCAAGGGTGATTTAGGCTAAGAGAGACTAAGTTGCCCAGGATAGCCAGACCTCACAGCCTAGATTTCCTATGTTCAGAACTAATCTATATGGTTTTGTGTGCAAGGCAATGAAGCTTCTGGCACTGATTGGCTGAGCTAGTGTGACACCAAAGAAGGGCTCAAACATTTCAGCTGTGCATAAAGCAAAGCTGTCAAAATGTTCTCAGTTCCACTTCTTCAAGATAAAGGAAAGTTGTCAGTTTAGCCAGTTAAACTCTTACATGGTCCCTAAAGACAGAAGTAGCTGTTATAAGGGTAGGGGTTGTAAGTTTCACATATTGTTTTGAGCTAACCAACTAGTTCCTTGACTGCAGAATCCGAGAATGTTATCAATTGTGCCATGTCGACCCCTTAAACGTTATCCCATGGCATTAAAAGCCTCTCCAAACTGTTTATTTCCAATGAAATACTTGCAACACTTACATCTTGGCCTTGATTGGTTCTCTGGAAAGCCCATGTAAATGTAAAAGAAGCATTTTTGGAGATTATGTGTGTATAAGATTGCTTGTCCTTACTCCCACTCCATGATTCCACTACATTTGTGTTCTTTTTATTGATATCCTGGAAGTAAAGAGTATCGAATTTACTTACAGTATTAGTTACCATGCTGTCACATAATATAACCATGTTGGTCTTCCCCTTAGCAGGGCCAGAGTACCAATGTTTTGGCCACAAAAAAGATCATATAGCTGATTCCCTATTAACAAAAGCATTTGATTCAACTGTACCAGTTCGGAAGGAGGGGAATTAAGCTTGCCCTAACCCTCTTTTCCCTATATTATTCCCAGTACTTACTGGTGACAGTCTGTAAGCCTGGTAACATGGTGTTTGGTTAAATTGTCCTCTGAGATGTTGCCCAGTGGAAAAGATGTGAGAAAACAGGAAACATATTTCTCATCTACTTCTTGGATTAACTACCTGGTACTTTCTAGACCACAAACGTCCATTCTGATCATTGGTCAAGCTGACTGAGAATTATGAGAGTTGTGGTCCAACACATCAGGAAGATGCTAGAGTGGAGAGACTGAACTAGATGCATGGTGCTGACACTCAGGTATTAATATTGTTTGGGTACTTCTCTGTGGATTGAAAAGCGAAAATGTGTCCTTGTATGACCTAGGACTGTTTGATTAAAATATGCCTTTTAAGGCAATCCCTCCCAAGGCTTTGTACAACAGAACTTAAAAAACACCAAACACAGTAACCCAATGATTTAAAAGAGATTAAAGTTAACACTAAGGACCAAATAGCACCATATTCACAATGACCTAAAGTCCTAAGTTATTCTAGCCAAGGCGAATAGGTCCCACTTGTAGGCTTACAATGATGGGGCCTGCTGGGCAACAACCGGAACAAAGTTCCATAAGTGAGGGGCCACTACAAAGAAGGACCTATAGCTTGTACCTGCCAGACTCATTGCTCTTACAGTGGCTTACAGGTAAGCTACCCGGTGCTGATCTACACACCCTTCTTGGCTAATGGGGTAGAATAGAAAGCCAATACATAAAGGATTAGATATTAGAAGAAAAAATTTGAAATTAATATTTTGCTATCTATTGGCAAAAACACAGGACGTGTAGCTTGAATTAGTCACAATGTGGCATTTAGACAGTAGGAAATCTATTTCCTCTGCACATTTTCAGCTGCTCAAGAGCGTCAGATTACTAAAGGAGCATCTATTTTGTCCTGAAGAACATATCTATGCAAACTGGCTCACGCCTAAGGACAACTGAAGTACTGTATCTTAATAAAACACATACCCAGCACTAAAATGGCATGGAGAGATGCCAAACATATTCTTTTTGTCAGCCCCAACTGTGATCTTGCTTACCACCATGAAATACAGCACACAATCTGCTGAACAGATGGTCTCAAACACAAAAGTGATTCGTCCAAGTTCTGAGCCTGTCGCCCCTGTTACTGATGTTGGAGGCCTGTTTAATAGAGAGGAAATGAAATATTTACAAGGTGCTTCCAAAAAAACATGCCAGCCAATTATGCTAATGTTCTATTTATCCACCTCAACACAGTTTGCAATCTGTTTAAAAACAGACAAACAAACAAGATTTATACTATCACATAATCTTTCATTATTACCGTTTTATTCTAAAAGTTCACAGAGCATTTTCTATAAGCAGGAGTTGGGCTGAACTCAGCCTGGTGAGGTTGGTCCTACAGCATGGACCATGAAGTACCAAATCAGGGATGGGATAAGTTCCCATACATGAACAATCAGCGGAAACATGAGAAAAAAGCATATTGTGCCATGAACCCTGAGTATATCCTGAGATCTCACAAGAAGAGCCCACACTAATGGATGGTTAACAGTGACACCACTCCAACACCAATAGGAGTTTTATTGCTGCTTTATATGGCTACGCTGACCTATTCCACGTGGCTCTGAGAATCTCAGCCCCTGTTCATGTGTTCCTTATATTGTTTAAGAACAAGCCACTTGGAGGGTGAGTAGAATAAGGAAAAGAGATGAAGAATACTGCAGAAATTCAGAAAAGAAACTGCTGCTTACTTAAATCCTGATATATGAAGATTCACAATGAGATAATCATTATCCGTGCCTCCTGCCCCACTCCGGATGTGGTCACCAGCCACTTCCCAACCTGAAAAAGGAGAAATCCATCTAAAAGTCTGCTAATGCATCATCTCAACAGCAAGAAAATCTGGAGGTGAAAATGGCTCACACACCATTCATTCCATCACATTTTGAATTTCCAACATTGAAACAAGATGTCTTCATGTTGAGAGGAAGGACATTCCACCATTTATATTCCAGTCCCAGTGCTGGTTCAGTCCCAGCAGGGCAGGCCTTGCATTCTGAAAGACATAGGTGCAGATTACAAGATAAAAATAAAATCAGCAGATCTCAAAAGGAAGCTTTTCATCAGGTGTGGAAATAATCAGAACTAGCTCTGCACTGAAAAGGTCTGTGTGAATCAGAGCAGAAAAAACAGGAGTTCCTTCTTTACAGTTCAAATGTGGATGTGGCTAGCAATGTGAAGAATCAGGTTTGGAGATGTGAGGATCTGCTGGATTCCCTCTGCTCTGGTCCACTTTCTCTATGCTTTGAGCCCATCTCATGCTCCTCATTGTGTGAGCAACCAGCAGGAAATAAGTCCAAGCAAGTCCACGAGGCCGGCTTGCACACACACTGTCCACACAGCCATTATGCAAGCAGAGTTCTACTTCCACACACTTGACTTGTGGGCTTTGTGTACTTTGTGCAAAGAAGCTGCTAGAATTCCTAAGCATTCATGGACTTGACCTTGATCCAGCCTGCGTCCTGCTCAGAGCTGAGCATGGAAAAGAAGTCCAGTAGGTGTAAGAGGGCTGAATAAATTTCTCTCCCATTCTTACATCCACCATAATGTTGGCTTTAACAGATATAAACTAAAGACAGCTATATTGCATAAGCAACAGGAGCAAACAAAAGAAGCAAGTAACATGAAGCAAGGTACTGAAGAAATTAGAACATGCTGCACTCTTGTAAACTGCCCAGAGAGCTTTAGCTATTGCGTGACATATGAATGAAATAATAAACAATAAACAAAAGCAGTTCTTTAAAGCATAGGCTACATTTGGAGAAGTAATTGCTTCTGAGAAAAATCAGCCAAGGATGAGTCCAGGTTAAATAAGGCTTGTTTTAAAGAAAGCTAGAAATAGCCTGATAGAGGAACCACTATTGTATTGTTATAGAAACGTAAATCTCTGATCTCACTGTTGGTTCTGGTGAAACAGGTCTTGCAAAATTTAGAAGTGATACAATATCCTGCAAGTTCCATTTAAGATACATGATATCATGATGAGTGCATACACCATGGAGAAAGATGACTCTATCCCACTTTCGAAATTCAGGGTGAAAGTGATTCTCAAGCTCCAGAAAGCATCTAACTGCCACTAGAGTTTTTAATGTGATCCTATTCTCATACCATGGGTTCCATCCGAAAACATGCCCGGAGGACAAGGAGTGCAGAAAGATGAGCCATTGCTATAGAAACCAGGGTTACAAGGCGGACACTCCTTCCTCTCTCCTGAAGGAGGCAGCTTCATGGCTTCAGAAACATCTTCCCTACAGATCTTAGGCTCCACCCATTTGTACATGAGCTGAGTCTGAAATTAGAAAGATACAAAATCAGAATAAGGAAGGTTTGTGCCAGGCCTAAGATTAAGAAACTGTATTCAGTGATGTTCAACATTTGTTATGGAGGCACCAGTGGGCAAACAGCAAAGAAGGGATGCCACCAAATACATTCCAGAAAAAACAAGTAGCATTCCATAGAGGAAAGAAAACATGCCAGTAAGTAATGCAGGCTTAGACAAGAGAACATGACAAGGCATTCACTCTCCTGCCATTACTAAATATTAATTTAATCAATAATGAATTAATCATGAGTGGCGCAGGGTCCTAATGACCCTCACAAGCCCCTGCTGGCACAGTCTCTACTGTCCCTTCTACCATCCACATGTTGGGGACATGCCTGCAGTGGGGAGGCCTACTGAACAGTCGAGATTCCAGGTTACAGAGAGAACCTACAGTAAGTGTCCCTTACACGGGCCCCAGACTTGTTGGGTGGCAAGGGAGTCGGGATGCCATGGACAGAGCACTGGGAGGCCAGCTGGTGGGCATGACTCCACTCTGCCCATCATGCAGACTCAGTGAGAGACTGAGCCTTCTGAGGGCAGGGGAGGAAAAGGAAGCGCATGTAGCAATTAACCAACAGATTGCAGATGTTTTTATTTTAACACGGATAATTTGCTGGGCTTTAATGGATCCCAAATCTGCTATGAGAAGTGAGCTATCTCACCTTACCTAACTGTAGGAGAAGTTGACCTATAATTAGTTTAAAGTTCAAAGGAGCTGATTCTTTCAGATCTGCTTTTACCAGCATCTATACAGGAGGTGATTACACAGTCCTCTTGTTCAACCATTATTCATGGGTAGCAGAATTATGAAATAACATTTACAGTCCAATCTGAAATCCACTCAATGGTTTCCATTTAGTTCAATAACTCTGATGAGATCATTTGCTTGAGTAAACGCTGTAACTTTGAACACAGCAAGATAAAAACCTTCGGAAGGAGACTTCTATTTTTAAAAGGCGACAGAAATGAATAAAACATTATGGATTTAGCTACTTAGACTGAGCTCTATTGTAAGTCAAAAGAGCTTGCATGTATTCAGAATAACCAATTATTCTTCTGACTTTCATATCCACTGGAGTCCCTTTCTAAGACACAACACAGGGAGGTTTCTTATATGTAGCTATTTTGTACTTTGATTGGCTAATTCCCTCCTAACTTAAGTGGAGAAGTCAATAGGAAAGGCAGAAGCTGCAGGCTGGGATTGTGAACCTAATCAAAACAAAACCAAGGAACCTTGGGGAGGGAACTTGGATTTCACAGCTCGTTTAGACCATGATCTACAATTACAGGAGGTTACTTTGGGAGTTAGTTGTAAATGTTCTTAATTCACAAGACTGTTGTGAAGACGTCACAGAGCACAGTAACATGTGACTTCAAACATGTATATGAGCCATTGGTTCGCTTACAAAAGCTGCTGCAGTCTTGCCAAGTATGTTTTAAATTCTTTTCATGAGTGGTTTGGCTCACCGCCTGTGGATCAGCACATAATTTCATCTAATTGTAGCAACAAGAAGGCAATGAAAATCATTCCTGAGTGTAAGAGGAGTTACATCAGACATTTTTCATTAGCTTTGTCTCATAAAACAGTTGCTGTAGTTCTTAAGGTTCTATGAAAATCTTGGCTTTGCTGGCAAAACATGCAATTATGCCCTATTCAAAGCCCAAATGTAAATTCAAGCACAAGTCTTGCTGGAAATGCTCATATATCATTGAACACTTTCTCAGTTTTCAAAAATTTCTCCAGTACACTGAATCAACCCTGCATTAGTCTATGGGGAAAATTTGTGCATATTCTGGCAATTAGTACAAATATTCCAATCAACTGCTGCTTGAGTTGCTCAAAACTCTTCTCTGTGCAAAGCAAGCAGCAACTGCAAATAAGAACAAAAATCAAGTGCAAGATGAGCAACAAAACTACGTTGGAGGATTCATGCTATCTTGAACTTCATGCATTTGACCATCCCTACTTTATGTGCCATCTCAGGCCCAGCCCTAATCAGAAATCCTCTTCTAGCTTTTTGTTGCATCGATGTTAGTAGTGACATTGGGTACCATCAACCCAATAGTGGCAGCCTGATGAGAATGATACATACACTTTCAAGCATGTGTTTCTCATATTCACATGTTACAGTTTTCAATGAACCCAGGTGATGATCAGTTACATGAACAAATGAAGTGGATATCAGATTAACTGACAGAGCAGCCCTAGGAGCCTGAGCCAGGAGATTCCCCTTCCGGAAGCCATAGACACTGCCATGACCTCCCGAGAGGAAAATTGAGCAGGAGCTCACCTCTCATCCAGCCCCTGCAATCTCAGAGGAGGTGCAAGAACAGTAGGAAGAGGGCATGCCAGCAGGTGGCCAGAAAATGGAGGGGAGAGAAGATGGATCCATAGGATCCATTCCTGGCCACATTCCAGGCAAGCCAACTCAATGATCCATCTAGCCACAAACAGCTGACTGATGGAACAGGATGTGTTTTTGTTTCTGTCATACCTACCACCCTGCCTGGAAATGCATAGGATAGAACATCAACTGCCTGCAGACCTATACATTGAGCTAGCATGTCTTCGCTGAGTTGTGGACCTACAGTTGGAAGGGGACCACAAGCGGAAGTGGTTTGGTAGGACCCTTCCACCTCTACCTCTATTCTCTTCTATCCTGTTCTAAGCCCTTAGGATAGCATTCTAAATTCTGTCGCATATTAACTATCAGATACTGTCAACTATTGCTAACTGTTCACACAATCCCTGGAGTTCCTTTCCAGAACAGAATGAGAATATTTGTCAAATATATGAACATTCATATAATATTAGGCATGAAACTAGCCTAGGATAAATTGTGTAGTTTTCTTTCTGCAGTAAATCCACAACAAGCAGCACAGGAAGCATGAGAAACCGTGTGAGAAAAATTAAAATGTAAAAGGGATTTGCTATGAATTGCACATATCCATGCAAAGAAATCAAGAACAGACAGCCAACAACTTGAGATTTTAATTGGTGTGGGGTAGCGGAATAGAGGGTTTTTGTCAGAGATAGCTCTGCTTTTACAAACACTTCTGTTTAAAAATGTTTTACTGGCCAGGAACAGCATATTATACATATACAGGAAGAGGCAAATTTAGGGATGACCAAGAGCAAATAATTTCATTGAAGGTCACAAAGACCAATTGATGGCAAAACCAGAACTGGAACCCATGTCTGGCTTACAGCCCCCTAAGTACAAACCACTTCAACACAACACTGTAAAGCTGAGGCACACCACTGGTCCTTGTGCCAAATTCACCCCAGAAGTGTCCCAGAAGGCCAGGGACATTCCCTTGGCACCACACTGTCAGGATCTGAGGCAGCTTCAGGGCTCCATTTTCTGGCCAAGCACCAGAATAGCAACCCTCATAGCTGCAGGACTACTCCCTCAATCTACTGCAGCTGCCAGGGCCCCCATGAGAGCCAGCTTGGAGCCATGGGGAAGAGCTCTGTAAGAGCTGGCTCTTCCCTCCGGAAGCTGCCTCAGTAAGGAAGGTCTTCTGACCTGTTGTTTGATTTCTAGCTGGTGTTACCTGAGTTTCTGCTCCTGTTTTGGTCTCCAGGTATATCCTCCTCTTGCTTTGCTTCACTGGTTTAACTTCTGGCCCGCCCCAGCTATGTCATTGTTTATTGGACTATGCTTGCCTTGTGTCTCTGTTCTTCCTGGCTTTAACTTTGGATTGTTGAACTGGACTAGGTTTAATGTTTGGACATTGGTTTGGTTGCCTGCGTCCTGGTGCCCATGTCTGTTGTTCTGCTGCCCATATCCTAGCCTCTGATACACACCCTTTCCTTCAACCAATGATCATTTGGTGGTTTTCTGTGTTTTTAGTTTTTTTCAATGTGTTCCCCTGCCCCCTTCTGAAGGTTGAAATGCCTCTCCAAAGGCTTAGTCACAAACACTAAGAGCTTTAAGCACTGAGATTTTAATATATTCAGTGGTATAGAAGTATTTCAATAAATAAATAGGCTAAAACATATTAAAATTGGAACCTGATCCTTTAATCTACAGCTGCACCCACAACTAGATCATGCCCACAAGGGTGTCTTCAAAATGGAATTCAGCCCTAGGGTTGAAGGAGGCTTCGCATCACTGCTGCAAAGAACTCTGCTACGCGGAGGAGTCCTTGAGGAGCCCATCACTCACCTTTCCCTCCTGGTCACATGGTGTGTGTATTTGGGAAAAGTCTTTCTTTGAGCATGGAAGGCGCTCCGTACACTGGCTTGATCCTTCATCTGAAAGCAAAAGACACACACAAACATCACATATGAGTTTAGGGGAAATTGTATGAGCGATCCAAAATCTGTTAAGTTCTCAGGAAATCACCATGTTTAAATAGTGCATCTATTTTCACTGATCACTCAGGTTTGTGAAGCTTCTACCACAGGGAAGCCTGTAATTACTGGCACTGTTTATGTTCAGGAGGTGAGTAAAAACCTTCTTTAAAAAAATTGCCTCGACCTACATTTCAGTTGTCGTAAACTCCCTATATCCTGCATCTATCCTTCCGAAACTTTTCAGCTTTCTTACTTAGGCACAACTCTAGACTACCTGTCATTTTCAGAGGAATGGTCCACAACAGTTACAGGGGATGAGCACACCCTGTTTTGGATATCCTCAAAATGGAAAGTCTCCTCCTGCACAAATGTAAAATCTGTTCCTGCTCCTGTATATATTCATCTTGAACTCCACAGGATCAACCCCTTCAAAATGGCAACCATCCCTGCAAATCGAATTGAATTTTGTCAAGGAATATAAAAATTATCAGCAGTTCTTTGTATTTTGCTCTCTTCCCTTTTTTTTTTTTTTTTTTTTTTTTTTTTTTTTTGAGGTCAATGGAAACAAGCAAGACAAAAAGACACCCAATCTTCTAAACTTTGAAAGATTTCAGAAGGTTGGGGGATGCAGTCTCCTTAGGGACTACCATATGTGCAAATCTCACTAATTCTCACAAACAGAAAAATAAATTATCATTGTTCTTTGATTTTCTATAACAGTCAATGGGAAGAATGAAGCCTCAGATCTCCAAATAACTCTAATCAAGTACCAAGTAAAAGTGGGCAACCACTAAATCAGTCATGCCAAATCAGGTTGAGTCAAATATTGCTGGTCATCTCACATCTATGATAGACAGACACACCTGAAGTGTTCAGATCAAATTAGACCCACTGGGACAGGGGGTTCCCACCCTATATGGTGTAGCTATAATGGTAGAAGTTTTGGCAACCACCCCTTAAAATATGAGGTGGCCCATGATGAAATCAGGGCAAGCCTCTAAAGAGAGAGACAGGAAAGAATGGCACCTGCAGTTACTGCGATGTGCCCAAGGAGTCTCATTTAACTTGCAAATAAGTTAAATTTCACCCTTGTGGTTTTTCACAGCAGGTACAGACACGAGTTTTTCTTTAAAAGAGCATTTCTTGGGGTATACCACAGACTGCAGTTTGCAGGGAGGTGGGATCCATGGGAGATCAAAAGGGCTCATTCCTGTCTTAATCCCCTTTGAAAGTGCCCCCCTAGGATAATTATTTGCTGATCAGGATCCTAAATGCTGATTTGTTGTTTTAGGTTCCAATAAATCTGATTGGCAAATTCCCTTTAAAAGCTCTTGATACTGCTTCAATTACAACACAGCCTTTAAACATTTACTGGAAACTTTCATCCAACATTTTGGAGTTTAGGGGGAAAATATAAACAAATAATTGTAAAATCACAGTGCCCCTGTACCTACAAAGTCCTATTCAGGCTAGCAGGGAATTCCTGAAGCATATTTCAACCTTTCCCATAGCTTACATATAATACCCCTTTGCACAGAACTGGTGTCAGCAGGATTCATTGGCATCAAGTAGAGGTGTAGCAGAGTCAAGGCTTACAGGGATGGAGTGCCAGCACTTTCTGATTAGCAGAGTCACGGGCATCATCTGCCACTCCCTCAGAACACCCTGTTCCTTCTGAGCTCAGCTGTCATCCTCACAGAAACTGGTAGGGGAATGAATTTTCTCAACAACAACATATCGTTCCTTGTTGTAATGTGTAAAGATGCGCTTTACAACTTGGGATGAGTTTGGACTTGAATGGGCCATTAAGAACCATTAGCTTGACAAACTACAGCTCCTGGCAGAAATGAAAGCCACTAGAAGGGGTTTGTTGTTTTGGATCAGCCTAGCTGCTTGCAATTCTGGACAGTCCCTGGGGGCATGGCTATGGGATCTGCCATGCTGAGTGCCTGAACTTCAAAATTCACCACTGGCTTGGAGAGGTTTATGGAACATCTGAAGTTAAAGCACAACTTTGAATTAGATACAGCCCTCCATTTCTCTTTGGCACAAACACAGTGCCAACACAGTTGGGTTCAGTGGAAATATACACCACTCAGAGAGTCCTAACAGCACTATAGGCATGGTGCATACATTTTAAAAATAAATAAATACCTGCATAATGTGTTTCTTCCTGACACCTAGTGCATTCCTTAGCACCTTTTTCTGAGTAGGTATTTCTAGGGCATATCTGGCAACTGGAAGAGCCTGGCATGTTGCTAAAAGTGCCAGGCTTACAGGGAAAGCATTCAGAAGTATAGGCCACACCTGTAAAACAAAAGCAGAAACTTAGACATTGACCAAATAAGGAAACAGAAAGAGGCATGATCTGCAGCAGTGCAGGGGAGTTAATGTGTTACAGCAGACAGTGTACAATTTCAGCTAAGAAAATCAGAGTTCAAATCCATATCCATTTATGAAGCTCACCTGGTTACCCTGGTCACTATCTTCAGGCCTCATGGGAACAAAAGAAACTGTCCTAGACCAGATCACTTTTCAAGCTCAGGCAGAGATCCTTCCCATCACCTGCCAGCTGACCTTTTTAAGTGGCATCGAATCCAGGATTTTCTGCCCACAAAGAAGGAGTTCTACTATTGAGCTACAGCAGTTGAAATCCATGCAGGGTTCCCTGGTGGAGAAGTATGATATACAGGAGCTAAAAATGCCTCTGCAACATGGGAAGGTGCTGCAGACTATAACCAGTAGTGGAACAGAGTGAGAGTTTGCAGGAATGCAATGACAGCCCTGCTGACATCAACTGCCATCCATCTCAGACTTCTCTGTTCCTTCAGAACTCAACCCCCATCCTTAGAGTAGCAGAGAGATGATGCAGAAAGACTTTGCCCCCAAGAATATATTGTTTCCTGTCACAATACAAAGTATTTTGGGGGTGGCTTGGTCTTGAATAGGCAACAAGGCCCATGAGCTTTACAAAAGACTGACTTCTAATGAAGATGAAAACTCTGAGACGACAACTGCTAGAACTGGTTTGTTGATATGGATCAACACCATTGCCTGAATATTTGGATTCTCCTTGGGGACATGGCTTCCTGGACTGTCATTCAAAGTGCCTGTACTGCATTTTCCCCAGTAACAAGCAAAGGGTACAACCTCTGTTTGTCCAGATGTTTTACTCTATGACTCCCATCAGCATTATACAACATCTCCAACAGTGAGAGACGACACCTGGAGGTCCAACCACATAGAGTGCAACAAGCTGCCCACCTCTGATACACGTAAAATAATTCAGTATGATTCCATCTAAGCTTCACACAAGAGATATACAATGAATGCAGTACTTAATTGTTATATGTGTCCCTTTTATAGAACTTCTTGTATGTGTTATACAAGAAAAAAATAACTAGTATTAAATACACTGGACACAAGTAATTCCACAAAAATGAAAAGGTAGGCAAGAATGAATTAAATGTCTGCTACAAAGGATGGTAGTATAAGTAAGGATAAAGCCACATCACAGTACATGTAGCAGATAATAAATGGGTTTCACTGAGACTCAATCTGCCTGTAATATCATTCAGTTTCCTTTTGCACACCCAGTAACAACTATACCTTGGCTCAAAACCAAGGCTACAGTGCCTAGCCTTGGTCTTGGGGGAGTTTTCTGAGTGCCAGGTGGGTCCACACAAAGGCTTCAGCTGCCAGTGGCCTTTTCATGCCCTGCCATGACACAGAAGGCAGCAGCAAAGAGACGGGGCAAAGTTGGTCTTATAGGGATGGTTCTACTTCATACAGCAAAGTGGGCTTATATTTAAGGGTCAGCAATAGTTGCCACCCATATAAATCAGCAATGGAAGGAGCAGTGGGAAGATACAGAATCCCAATAGGGTGCTGCAAGCACATTGCATGCCTGCATCTTAAAAGAGCTTCTTTAGGATACCCAGATGTGTACATAACCATTTTTAATTGTTATATTATTATTATTAATGTATGTATTTATGTATTCTTTGTGAGCCGCCCCGAGGCTTTGTTGCGATGGGGGCAGCATAGAAATGTTTTAAATAAATAAATAAATAAATAAATAAATAAATAAATAAATAAATAAATAAATAAATAAATAAAGGGTGCCACTGCCTTGTCTCATCCACAGACATTGATGGAGAGAGCTCATCACTTCCACTTCTGAGGCACATGCATTTTCTTCCCAGGCCTTCCACCTTTTTCTTTAAGCCCGTTAAGCAGATAGCACTAAGAGCCCCCAGCCAAGATGCACCCAGAGTCTCCATTCTAGGGACACTGACAGGGAGGGGTCATACAGCAGGGAAGGTGAACCAACACCGCACAAAAGTAGGGTGAGGTTTGGTTTTCAGTGACCCAAGGGCTAAGGCTGGATGCGATCGGTCATAGTCTCTCACAGGGTAAAATCTACGATGTTAATCTAATAATGGTACTAATGCAGACACACACAGACACACACTCTGTGTGTGCGTCGGGGGGGGGGAGGGGGAGAGAGAGAGAGAGACTACTCTCTGCAACTGGGTTTTAATCAAGTCTTGATTTTTTTTAAAAAATTGGTTAGATATGTCTGTGTGTGCACTGTCTGCTTGCATGTTTGTACGCAAATAGATTTTATTTTAAAGTTTTAAATTTCTGTAAACTGCCCAGAGAGCTCCAGCTATTGGACAGCAGCAGAATGCAATGCAATGCAATGCAACCCCTTCCCAGCAGATGTCACCATTCACCCTGTAATTGCGGCATTTGGTACACAGTGTAGCTAGACTAAAAATGACTTCTTGCATCTTTTGAAACTAAATTTTACTGTGAAGATAAGGAAAAGGTTGAGAGGGAGGAAGAGAGCGAGGGTTGGGGGGGAAGCAAGAAAACCAAAACCAAAACTGAAATATTAATAGTCTACAAAGTTCTCCCAAATTAAATTGGTTTTGAAAAGAGCAGTGGGTACAGAACATCTGGCAGCACTGAGGATTAGCCACTTGTTGCTTTCTTGTAGGAAATGTTTCAAACCCTTCCCCTTTTCATTGGATTTGGGGGTCACCCCTCCTGACCCTCAAGATGATAGTGGTTTTGGTTGTTAATTATGACTTCTTTATTAGGTGTGGTTTTGTTCTTATTGTTCATCAATTGTGCATTCTTACTTTATACCATTTACCTTTTTGAAAAAGCATAGAATGGCTTAAAATAATGACATGGGATTGAAACCAGGCTTAATCATACTTGGAATAGACCCAGTAAAATCAGTTACAACCCACCCCATCATATAAATCTTTAGACACAGAAAAAATCCACCTGCAGGTCCCAGACAATTGTAGAATGCATGGGGAGGGAGGGTCTAAACATACATAGAATTACACTCTAAATTATTCAAGACTAACTTGTCCTATTGATTTCAATGGGGTTTTTCTAAGTATGAATGCATCTGAGTCCAACTAATAAAGCATGCAATCCATGCTAAGAGCAGCCTTATAGTTACAATGAAAACTGCCGTGTTTTATACCTTCGATTGTAATGTTCTTCACCAGTACGGGCTTCACCACCTGCGAACCCATAAGGATCCCTGTTGTTCTCCAGTATAATATATTAGAGCCTGCTTTTAGGGTTACCTGAAAAGGAGGAGAATGAATTGTTACTCAGAGCTCTCCCTGAGATTGATTAAATATGGAACAGAATACCTGGAAGGCATTGTGGTTGGCCTCAAGATTAGTAATTCCCTGTGAAGCTGTAAGTGGACTGAGCAGGCACGGCATAGCAGGGAAGAAGCACCGAGAACTAAACTGCACCTTCCATTGAGGAAGACCTGCACCAGGAAGCCAGAAAAGGAAATGCAGGAGGCTGGAGGAGAGAAGGGGAATCATCCCAAATGGCATCCTCCTCTGCTCCACTGACAGAAGCGATTTCAACAGACAGGAGTCTCCATGAATTAAAAAGCGACTGGATACAAGCCATTAAGTCACCCAAGGACCTGTCCCAGATTGCAACCTTTCAAATTGCAAGTGAGTGGTTGCCTGTTTGGATTTTATCACTTTATATACTGCATTCCATAAACTCACCCTTACCACAAGGTGCTTAGGAGGATATATGTGGCTTTTGTCCATCTTCTTATCACAGCAATGCTGTGAAGTAGAATTTAGGCTGGGAGACTGTGACTTCCACACAGCTTCATGACTGGGCTTCATGAGCAAACAGAGTCCTGAGCCTGTGTTCCTCATCCTAGTTCATAGTCTAACTCTTTTCCCTAAAGCAGTTCTTTTGGCCATGCAAAAAAGGATTCTATTCAGAAGAGGAGGGGTTCAAAATGCAACCCCCCCCCAATCTCCAGTCTGGAGTGGCACAGTCCAGGAAGGAATATCCATCAGCCCTGAGCCCACTCCTCAGTATCAAATGAGGTTCCTTCTCTGTTGCTGTCATTCTCTGCAATAATTACCCTAGGGATTTTTTTTATGTTCGATATTTTATTTATTTATTTTTCAATTTATATTCTGCCTTTTTCCTACAAAGAGCTCAAGGCAGCTTACATCATTCTCCTCCTCCATCTTATCCCCACAACAACCCTATGAGGTAGGTTGGGCTGTGAGTCTGTGGCCCAAAGTCACCTAATCAGATATATCTGATTTATCAAATTGTATCCTAGGGAAGCTTGGTGTTCCTTGGACATTTATTCAGGGTTCTTTATGATAAGAAGGACAGTAATGGCTGACAAGCTTCCTCGGGGGCCCATTTGTTCCCCAGAATTCATTTCCCCCTTCAGGTGCAGCTACAAGGAGGCATTCTGTGCATTTCAGCACATACCTGAAAGTCTGAAAACATGTGCCCCTAGAAATGTCCTGGCATTTTGCCAATCACTGCTTAGAAATGTGTGTATAAACACTCTTGCTGAAAATTCAGAGAGGGGTAGAACAGAATACGCATACATGCTACTTGAAGTGTGCCAGCATTTTTGAAAAGCCTTGCCCTATTTTGTTGCTTTTGTGTGAAACAACTTTTAAGTAAACAGTTCAGCCCAGCACAGAAACATGCTGACAGTGACATTAGAACACATGCATCTGAGTGTGTGTGAATACATGTGTGTATATATACAAATATAGTTCCCCACCTGCCAGCAAAGAGAAACTGTTTACAGCTAAAGCCTCACCCTGTTTACTCAGTTCCCAAGTTTAAGCTGGAATTTCTATAATATAAGATAAGGGCGTTAATGTGCAAATAAAAGGAACAATACTACCTAAGACATACTTGTATCTCAAAGTACTGCACTTTCTGTTCTTTCTGAAATTGGTCCCTTCAGTCAGTTTAAAAAATTGAATTGGTTTCTCTGGACTGTAACCTAGCTCACATTTAGAATGTCGCATTGCAAGGGTATAGAGAAGGGTTAAAGCAACCTCGCTGAAGCACCATTGTATTCAGCAAGTAGTTGCACGCATCCCTCAATACATGTTGTGCTCTTGGGGGTGAGAGCATTAGGGATGACCAGGACAGATTAGCTGAGCAAGGTAACCGGACATAAAAGCACACCAACCTCTCATCTTACCTCCACTCCAGTTTTCCCTCACATCAAAGCACAATAGCCAGCACTTAGTTATTGTTCACATGGTGAATGTAACATGTAGCCAGGCTTCACATCAACTGTGAATGGTGGGAAACAGCTTTAGCTACCTGGATGGACAGTATTCTGGGCTAAAGTCTATGGCCTGGGAGTCCATATCTGTCCATGGGACCAAGAAAAGCAGATAGAAAAGAAAGCTAATATGGTTCACAGAACCCCAAAAGAGAAAGCAGGCAGAGCCACATGCACATTTGCATTGGCAGCAACCCAACATCCAGTCACAGGGTCCTCCAGTTTCTAAAACCTCCATTTACCAAGCCACAAACAGCGTACTCACAGAGTGAGAGCCCCATTCTCCATTATCTGTCAGCTTCACCCACTTATCACTTGTGGAGTCCAGCTCTTGGCACTGGTCATTTTGAATCTGTTGATTAAAAATAACAGAACCCATCAAAATTCAGGCCAATCAATCCACTAAACAAGTGTTTTATCAATAATTAAAATAAATCAGCATGCATTATTGCTAAATTATGCTAAGCATTTATATAGTAAGTTTAAAGCACTTTACATGCACCTTAACAATCTGCATTTCAACCCTCTAATGCAGCTAAGAAACTTCCAACCCACAGGTCTAATCTGGTCTGCTGAGGTTATCCCTCTGGCCCATCAAACACTCATGGATTCCACTCCTTGGGGGAACCCCCACTGTTGTCTTCAATAACACGGAGAGATGTATCGTTCAAAGGAGGATGCCAAATGGGTGTCCTGGCAAAGCTGCAGCACTTTAAATAACATAGAGTATTATTCCTCTATTGCAGATTGTGGGATGAGGGTGGATGTGAAAGAGGACTCTGAGGCAAACAGAATACCAGCATGCCTAAGACCACTTGCAGAGCAAGCTTACCCTTCTATGCTCAGAAGAATGCTCCACTGATAATCCAAGGGGCTTATTCTCAAGTAAGCATGTGCACCATACAGCCTTAGAAAGTTGAATACTAATATATTGAACAAGGAAAGCTGAAATGTGCTGGTAAATCTCACGATTTACCATAGATCTGTAAAGGTTTCTGCTTAGCTCCCAACTATTTAACAAAACGATTCCCGCATTCTATGTTAGGCTGCTGAAATGGAGAAAGGAAGTGAGGAAAATCGAAAATGGATTTTGTGTGAAAGGATAGCAAACTCATTTCCAATGCTGCTATTGAATTCTTGGTCTGATCCATGTGTTCATATGCATTCTGTTCCTTAAGTCTACCAAGTGCATGTCTTCCTGAGCCACTATTTTACACCTGACTGCAACTGATGGATTTTGAGGTTCTAGTACAGGGGTCCTCAAACTTTTTAAAAAGGGGGCCTGTTCACTGTTGTGGGGCCAGACTATAGTTTGAAAAAAATATGAACAAATTCCTATGCACAATGCACATTAAAATTAATTAAAAATTAATTAAAAATTTAAAAAATAATTTAAAATGTTTGCTCTGCTCACTTAGGCTGCAGCAGAAGCCCAGGATGAGGTGGGGAAGAGCATGCCCATATTCAAGGGACATAGCTACAATGTCCACGATTGTGCTGTGGGGAACGGGGGGAGACAGATGTGACCATGCTGTGGGAGGGGAAGACAGGCGTGATCGCACTCGTGCAGAGAAGACGGGCATGATCGCAGCTATCTCCCCCCTCCCCGCCCCCGTATGACCACAATCACACCCATCTTCCCTGCACGATCACTCCCGCAATCACGGCCATCTCCCCCCGAGTACGCCTGCACTGGCTCAGAGCTTTTGGACTTGCTCAGAGATCGTGTTCTTCAAGCGAGTCCATAAGCTCTGAGGCAGGCCAGATAAATGGGCATGGCAGGCCGGATCCAGCCCACAGGCCATAGTTTGAGGACCCATGTTCTAGTACAACCTTCTTCAACTTATTGCCCTCAAAAAATGTTGGACTGCAACTCCTATCATTCCCAGCTAGCTATATTGGCTGAAGAATACAAGGATGGTAGTCCAATACATTTAGAGAGCACCAGGATGTAGGAATCTGCTGAAGTAAATGTGAAGGAGATCCAGGAAGCATGATGTCTGTCCACCTGAAATAGACCTTCATGATTCATTTTAGGTTTACACATCATGCCAGATATCCATAGTGTGTGATACTTAAAATGATAAAATGCTTCCAGACAGTATTTTATCATAAAACACATAACAAAGTCATGGAATCCATTGCCACAAAATCTGACAAGGACCACTAACTCGAAGGCCTTTATTGAAAAGGAGAGGGGATAAACAAATGCATGGAGTTTAGATCCATTGAAAGATATTTCCAGTGTTAGCTAGCAAGGAAACAGGATGACCAGAACCTCAAGCATGAAGGCCAAATCCAGCCCTCTAGTCTTTTCCAGAAGACCATGACTTCCATGGCTCCACCCTATTTTCCTTGACTTGGTTTTCCAGCTTTTGCACATTCCCCATTCTAAAAGGTTTGCATGTCTCTCCCATGGATTTGCTACTAGAAGTAAGAGATTTTGGATAAAGTGTTTCAGATAATATTTTTAGTATTTTGGTGCCACCCCCTTTATCTTTGGCCCTGGCCCATCACTGAAAGCTTCTGTGAAACTGAAAGTGGCCCTTGGCCTAAAGGAAGTTCAACACCCCTACTTTATTGAGAGAGATAATATTCTTCTAATTGCCACTTGCTGGTAACAAACAAGGATGGCTATCTCCTTGCGGCCTGCTTGCCATGTTTCCAATAGCATCTCTGAGGAGTTACAAGATAGACCACCTGCTTTGCCTAAAGAAAATCCCAGGCTCAATCCTTGGAAATCCAGGTAAAAGAGGTCTCTGTTAGAGGCCTCAGGGAGCCCCTGTTGACTGGAAAACAAACAAAAACCAACACTGGGATGCTGGGGGACTTCATAGTAGCATTGCAAGGGGCCATGAAGGGCATTGTGTCCAACCCCCTGCTATCTCAGGACACCAAGTTTACACCATCCCACTCAGATGGCTGTCCAGTTTCTTCTTGAATGTCTCTAGTGTGGTAGAGCCCACCACCTCTCTAGGCAGCTGGTTCCACTGTTGTATTGCTGTGACAGTGAGGAAGCTCTTCCTGATGTCCATCCTGAATCAAGTTGTTGCAACTTGAATTGATTATTCCGTGTCCTACACTCTGGCACCAGCAAGTAGAGACCTTGACCTTCCTCGTTGTGACAACCTTTGAGGTTCTTATAGAGGGATATCATGTCCCCCCTCAGTCTTCTCTTCTCAATTCTGAACATGTCCAGTCCTCTCAGTTTCTCCTAATGTGACTCCTAATAAGGCAGCTTCTAATGTTCAAATCAAGTGGGACTGTAACACTGACCCATTCACGTCAGTGGATCTCTTCTAAGTAGAAGTAACACTGGATATAATCTAGTAGGTTTACGTTAATCTTTGGCCAGATCAGGCAAAAATATCCTGATGGTGTTCATACGGTTGAAAAAGCAGTTAAAGGGATGCTGAAAAGACAGCAGTTGAGATATTGCTTTGATCCAACCCTCTGTATACTAGAAACCTGGCAGGAACAGCTAGATTAGATGATTATTAGTTAGTTTTCCATGGCTGCGTGAGAGGCAGATTGCACCCCTCCAGAGCAATTTGACATTGCTCACTAGCAAATCGCTACTCAGGAAAATGGCAAAATTGTTCAATGGTGGCACAGAAAAAAATAACTGGGTTTTCTGTAACAGCAGGAATTTAAGAAAAGTGATGATAATAATATGCTATTTTGTTTAGAGCAATGAGGAGAAGGTCTCTGTGGAGTAAACCTCAGAAAACAGTCAATGCTTCACATTTCAAGCACCTCTGCAGCACCTACATTACGGGGGTGGGAAGGAGAGAAATACCAAGTCAGCCTGATGATCAAGATTATGAATCTGTGATATAGGATGAAGTGTGAGAAACTTAATAATATTGTTTGTACATTAATGAGAGTGTCTTTCGAATACTTCTTCGCTGACATTGGTCACAGCCTCAGCTTGGAATTAGGTATAGGATTTTATTTGGTTTAAACATGATTAATGCCATCATGGCATCATGGTATTATCTCAAAACAGCTATTGAAATGTAGCTAATCAAAACCATCACTGAACATTTAGTAACTAACCTGTAACCATATATTGTGATATGTCCTTGCTGTCCATACAAGCAAGGACACATCATTTATAAGCTATTATACTTGTCTAACTTACAACAACAACCATTTGGACACATTTTCTCCATGCTGAACCCTTTTCAGACAAGTTGTACCAACTCACATGGTAGAAAAGCACCTGGCCTTCATCAAGAACTTACACAATGAAAAACATGGTAGCCGCTGCCATGTGGAGCAATATGAAACATTTTCTAGTTTGCAAAATAAATGCATTGGCCCTATGTTAACATAACAATCAGCAACAACAAACAATCAAGCAACACAAAAGCCATCACATGTATCTAGCATCTTGGAATGTTCAGAGCACTTTACATATTTTATCTTGGTGGTCCTTACAAAAATTTCTTAAGGTAGGGCAATATTCTTACCCCCATATGGGGTTGACAGACCTTGAGCTAAAATATCTAGCACCTGTAGGCCTGACTATGAAAGTAGATGTGAAACTATGTGGGGGTTTAGTCAATCCAGACACAAAATCTCTGTATTTGCTTAACCTTTAAGGTGCACAGCTGAAATCATTAGAAAGGAAGGAAAGAAAACCTGCCCAGAAGCAAGAAACTTGGCCAGGTCAGTATTTTTTCTGGTCAATTCAGCTGACATCATACCTGTCATGTCACCCTCCCCATGCACAGAGTGCAAACATCTATACGCACACAGGTCTCTTCCTCGTGATATCTAGTGACATGCTGATGCTATGCTGGGAACATGCTGTATGAGCCTGGAATAACGTTCCCAACACTGAGAAGATTCAAAGCAAAGACTCAGGAATCCAGGTTAGGCTGGGGAAACCACTTCTGCTCACTGTCTGCCTCTGCCCATCTCTACCCTCCCTGGCTCGTAGTCTAACTAGTACATTAGCACCAGTTTAATGGCACTTAAAGATGGTACAACCAACATGTTGAAAAGCTACCCATGCTGTTTTGATCAAAGTAGACCGTAGGCTGGAAGTGATCCTCAGGCCCACTACTTGGCCTGTCAGAGCTCACACTTTTGTGCAAGAGAAAATCAATCTGTGCCCAGCCAGGCAGATACTGCTTGTATGTATCAGGAAGCAAATTCATGGCATTGCAATGGCCTCACTTGTGATTTTTTTCTTTTGAAATCCAAGAAGGCAGGATGGTCACACAGGGAGGTGGAGTTAAAACACAGCTTCTACTGCAGCAAGCAGTGTCTTATTAGCAAAGCGTGATCAATGGTATTGAAACCACCAACAGAAAGTGCCTCAGGCTGGCGTGACTGCTTTGTCCATGTTTTGATGCCTTGCATACAATTACAGAGCTTTGCATGTACATCTCTTCATCTCTGTGTCTCCAGACACTCCGCAAATGCTAATTAATGTGAAGCACCGCATGAAGCAGCAGTGGGCTGGAAACGACAGGAGGGCTGATTCATCCCTGGCACAAAGGAAGGTAGTCAGTGAGGGTGAGATGGAACCTTTCCATCACCCACTTATTTTGAGCCACTTATTGAACTCTGTGTCTAGCTTCATTCAGCCACCTACACAGCATTGTTAGTGACACAGAAGGGAAGATGAGTAACTCTGTTCACTCAAAGCTTTTGTGATGCACATCAGTCAATGGGCCTGCACAATGTGCAAGCAGGGGTTCCCAACATCAAATTTTGAAAGGTCTGGTACCTGAGCTGTCTGAAGAATAGAAACTTGGGAAGGTTAGGGGAGGAGTCCTTATGGACACTGATGGAAGCAGACATTTCTGTTCCTGCCACTGGTACAGAAAAAATAAGCTGTACAGGAAAGCAAGCGGATGGGAAAACTATCTCCCTGCAGCTCCCAAAATGTCTCATTGCTTTGACAACACCTGCATCATCTTTGTCAGCTCCGCAAAGCCAAAGGGGCATGAGTATCAAGAGAGCACATCCTGCAGTTTCTTCCTGCAGGTGAAGAAAAATGCACTGCGTGAACACTGCAGTTCCTTAATAGATAGGCATGGACTACACAGTCTGTGCAACCTGCGTGGGCTGACCTAAGCTTTGCTTATGCTTATACAGTTTTTCAACCAGGTCATCAGGGCCATCCTTGCCATTAGGTAGAATAAAGCAGCCACCTCAGGCAGATTTTGGGTGAAAGGATCACAATGGTTGTTGTTGTACTTTTGTTAAAGAAATTGGGAGAAGTATTTCCATAATTTTCTGCCTCTGGTGCCAAAACACCTTAGCCAGCTTTAGGTGCTGTTCCTCAGGTAACACAATATCTGTCCTGGCCCTGAAGACCAGCTCAAGGCAGCAAGCTGGTTCACACCATCACCATTGGCTAAATAAGCCACAGTACATGCCCACAGATGGAATTCACCCATCTGGACAAAGCTTGTCATGTCATCCAAATTCAGGAAACCCAAATTGTTTAGAGGGAGAAACAGCTCTCAAGCAACACAACAACAGCTTTAGCATAAAAGCTAAGGAGCTGCCAACCAGAGCTGAAAACAGAGGGTTAAGATAAGACCATGGTCTGTCTCAGTATGAAGAAGATGGATATTTTATAAACCTTGCAGAGAGATACTGAAGATGACAATGAAATTCTTGAAAACTAGGCCAGGACATTTTTTTTTCCAAAATGCCACCCCTCAGTTTGGTTGTAGTATATGCAAATACCCTTACAAAGAACTCAAAGAAGATGTTGTTGTCAATATACTGGTACTCAAAGATGACTGAGCCAGACTTCTTCAGGTGTACGGTGTAAATTAAGGAGACAGTGCAATCATCCCGATTTGACTCTATATAATTCCCACGGGGAGTCCATGAAGACCTGAAGAAATACAAACAGAAACATGCTGTGTTTTATAAGACACAACCCTTCCATAAAATATAGCTATGAGAAATCTTTAACCCATATGCTACTTGATAAGTTGGTTCTGTGCCTATTCAAGCTGTGAGGCTAAAATTGTGATCTTTTTCCCCTTGGCTTTGGTATCCCTTTACATTTTTGTCACCCCATTGATGAGATGCAATCCAATGAATGACATCAAAACATTTGAAGCTGCTGCTATTCAAGCTAAGAAAATGTAGACCTAGTTAGTGCCTGCATGCAAGACCCTAGCACAATCTTCCCCAGTGGAGTGACAGCCAGATGTGCTGGAGTACAACTCCCGTTACTTCAATCAGTGGATGCTGGCTGGGGATGGTGGCTGCCATAGACCAAAGCAGCTGGAGTTCCAAGCTTTACAAAGGAAAAGGGAGTTATTAAAATAGCTGCATCTCAAGTATAATCGCACGGGCTTATTTCAATAGACCTTTGACCATGGGAAAATCCACAAGGTTCTTACTTGCCACAGCTATCTGCTTTGCTTTCCGCTGAACCAATGGCTGTGTCCATGTAAGTTGCTACATTGGAGAATCCTGCCGGAAGGTCATCCCATTCATCAAATTTGATCCCGCTTCCCAAGGAGTAAGTCCCCTCGGCACATTTACTGCATACCTGGTTCTTCATTTCTAGATATTCCCCAGCAGCGCATGAAAAAGCTGAGAAGGCAAACATTTGCAAATGATTAACAGCACAGATAATTCATGCATTGGGAATTCAAATAAGCTTTCTGCAAAGAAACCAATGAACAGAAGAAGCGAGCTGATTAACAAAACCAGTGGAAACAACTGTGGCAGTGATATTAAATCATTCCATTACCCAGTCACACATATACACTCTCACTCCTTTTAATCCAGGGATGGGGACTGTGTAGCCCTGCAGATGTTGCTGGACTGCAGTTCTCATCAGCCCCAGGCAGCATAACCAATCATCAGGGCTGATGGGAGTTGCACTCCAACAACAGTTGGAGGGCTACAATTCCCATCCCTGTTTGAATCTAAGATTTTGCAATGGAAAACAAATATTCTGCCTTTCCATGATCAACTAGAATTTGCTACTTGTGTGCTATAGTTTTTTAAATACCACAGATGCCTTTGGGAAAGAAAGAATGAAATCTCCAGCTAATAAGTTTTAAGTTGCCTTTTGACTTGTCATCTGTCTAAAGACAGCATGTACTTTTTGAGGCTGCCTTATGCAATGTGTTGGCTGTACATTCCCTGTGATGCTTATCTAATTCTGTAGAACTGGTTGGACTTGTAGCAAAGAGTACTCCATGTTGCCTGACGAAGAAAATACTTTATACGTGTATTCTAGTCAAAACCAGACTTTTTGCCCACATACAGTAAACGATGCACACAGCATTCCAAGTGGGTATTCATCCTTGAGCTATAGGTAGTAGAAGCAGCGTGACCAGTGTGGTAGCCTGGGTTATCTGCTCTATCAGACAGTTACATGCTCACATGTATGAGCCATAAATGAGAACCTAGATCCACATGCATCATTGCAGCCCTTCAGTGCTACAAGCAACATTCACAGCACCTTCAGTACCATCTTTTATACCTTGGCCAGTAATTTCCTTGTTCCACAGGAAGTTGCTCTTTGCCTGTCTTGATGCATATGTTCATGAGCAGAAGTTGCTCCAAGCAAGTCAGCTGCTTGCCTAGTTGAATCTGAGGCCAAGAATGGCTAATGGCAAAATGAATTGCTTTTGACACCTGAGACAGCTGGGTGACTTGATTTGTGCCTCATTTACTAGGAGCAGCTAAATCTTCTATCATCAGAGAACTCATCAGAGAACCTCGATCCTGGCCTGCCTTCAGAGAAGTATTTGCATACACCAGTCTCTGGGCACACATGTCCTGTTCTTGAAGTGTGCAGGCTAGAACTGCTGGGCTTCATGGCTGCCCTCATAGGAAGTAGCCAAGAACCCACCTAGTGCTCCCTTCCAGCTTGAGACGATGATGGAGAAAGCCTGACAGTGGTCACAACTGCCTTTTACAGAAACTAGCCTGCCCATCACGCCATTTCTCCTTGAGGAACCCCTGAAGTCTTCTAAACAGCCCCCAAAAGACTGCCCTTTGGAGGATGGAATCAAATTTTGCATTAAGGTAACCAGATACTGCACTGTAAAAAGTGGGATTTGCAGCCTTATGAATTTTGTAATGTGAATGTCATGATTTACTCTCCTTCTGGGGTTGGGCAAAGAACAGCATGTTCTATCCCTGGTTTCTGGGAAGCTTATTTGCCACTTCTCTGGCTTCTGAGAGTTCACTAGACTTTCCTCAGTCAACCCTGTCTTTTTATTCTAAACAGCCCCAGCGTTGCACAGCCTTTGGTTTGATACAGGCAAGCCTCCATGCTAAGCTACACAATGGTCAACAGCTGAACACATTGTGCTCTCCACATCTGAGTGAAGGTGCAGCCACTGAGCTCCTAGGCATGACCCCTGCCACAGTATACCATTATAGCCCTTCAAGGGAGAGGGCTGTCGACTTCATTCTCCTGAGGGCAGGTTGTCCCACGGCAGGGGAAAGGTTAGTCCTATTGCTGTCCCTTGGACTACTGGAATCTGTGTCCACAGCAAAGCTATATGCTGCTGTGCACATCTGCCGTCTAGTGACTAAAGATAGTACTGCAAGTGTACGCATTCAAATTAATTAACATTAACTTTGTTATTGTTGTTAGTCACGAAGTCGTGTCCGACCCATTGTGACCCCATGGATAACATTCCTCCAGGCCTTCCTGTCCTCCACCATCCCCTGGATTCCACTTAAGTTCACACCAACTGCTTCAGTGACTCCATCTAGCCACCTCATCCTCTGCCGTCCCCTTCTTCTTTTGCCATCTATTGTTCCCAGCATTAGGCTCTTCTCCAAGGAGTCCTTCCTTCTCATTGGGTGGCCAAAGCATTTGAGCTTCATCTTCAGGATCTGACCTTCTAAAGAGCAGTCAGGGTTGATCTCCTCTAGGACTGACCGGTTTGATCGTCTTGCAGTCCAAGGGACTCTCAGGAGTCTCCTCCAGCACCACAATTCAAAGGCCTCAATTCTTCAGCGTTCAGCCTTCCTTATGGTCCAACTTTCACAGCCATACATTGCAACTGGGAAGACCATAGCCTCGACTATATGCACTTCTGTTGGCAGGGTGATGTCTCTGCTTTTTAGTATGCTGTCTAGATTTGCCATAGCTTTCCTCCCCAGGAGCAAGCGTCTTTTAATTTCTTGGCTGCAGTCCCCATCTGCAGGTGATCTTGGAGTCCAGGAAATCAAAATCTGTCACTATCTCCATTTCTTCCCCATCTATTTGCCAGGAAGTGATAGGACCGAATGCCATGATCTTAGTTTTCTTAGTGTTGAGTTTCAAGCCAACATTAAGTAATATGATTTAAAAACATAGTACCCCATAATACCCCTGTGGCCCACTCACTATACATGCCAAGTTTCAGGTATCTTGGACTCCATGTCTAGCACTATGGTGCTGGACACATCCTCCTTTATTAAAATGCTATAAAAAGGAGAATGTCAGGATATTTAATGTCTCTGCACACATGCTCCATGTGCCAAATCCCATGCTTCTTTGCATGGTATTCTAAAATTTAAACACATCCCTATTTAAAGTCAAAATAGAAGAGGTGAACTGTTTACCATGCCAAGGCACCAAATAATATAATGAAGGTAGATATTCCAAGAATGAAATGAGGGGTTCTCAGAAGTAGGAAATAATAGGAATTTTCCTATTGTTAAAATAAGCTACAATTCTATTTTCCTGATCCAGCATGTACAATCTGAATCATTTATATGGAGCTTTTTAAATAACGCCTAAATTATTCAAGCTTATTTTACTCCATTTATTAAAGCTGTGCACATTGTCAGCCTCAACTGAGCCTTAATTTATAAGAGAGATGCTAAAACAGTTTAGGCCCCAGAAGAGGTCACCTTGAAATAGTGGTAGAAAGTGTATATTTGGGCTTTCAAAGGTTTTGGTAATGTCCTTTACCTAAGACTCCTGAAAAAACTACAGTTGCAAACACTACCTGATACACATGCTTAGAAAGGGAAATCTATAATGATGGTAACACCACTGAGAAAGCCCTGTATCTGCGAGCTACCCACCTAACATCAGACACTTAACTGGTGAGCAATTTATGTAGAGAAAGGGAATCCTTTATTAACCAGGTCTTATGCTCCTAGGGTTTTTAGAAGCCCCAAACAGCATCATTTAAAAGATGTAACTGTAGATTTATTCATCTATTCATGAACACTGTTGACACAGAAATATAATGTTTCTTATAACATCTGTTCATTTTCTTATGTGTTCACTTCTATTATAAAGTATTCTGGGAGCATCCAACTGTGTAATTCCATTAGCAAACCTGGTTCCAAAGTACATGCAAGAGGAGAATCCAGCTAAAATTTCATTTGCACAGGCAGCCACTTGTGTATTGCTGTTAAGCAACTCACTGTGCAACCGGTTGCATATTACACTTGTGTAATATGCAACTCATTTGTGGAGCTCCACAGCTGCTATTACAACTCATTTGTGGAGCTCCACAGCTGCTATTTGAGTTTGTGGGATAACACTGTTGGATATGACCCACTGAGACCTTTTTCAGAAAGGCATCTAAGTAATAATGGCTGTTATGATTATGGCTGTTATGTGATGCATGCAATGTTGTGTACAATGAGTACAATACCATCAAATTAAACAGGCCATGCATTACGTTTGTTCACTGGCAGTGCCATCCTAAGGCTGCAAGACAACATCTAGGCGGCCACAGGATTTTTCAGAGACCCAGCTGCAAGGTTGAAAAAGAACTGCAACTTTGCAGGTGAACTCTTCCTCCGCCCTTTCAACCATGCCAGCTGCATCTCCAAGGTCACAAAACAACCGCCTCCACAGTGCAAAGCATCCTGGCAGCATCTCAGCTCCATTTCCCCCTGCTTTGAGGCATGGCCTTAGATGGCTGAACTCAGCTATCTGTGTGTTTTGCAGGTGGGAGATGCATCAAGGTGAACTTTGCCTCTATACTCCTTCCAACCTGCATGGAATGCTTGTAATCCTCTCATTTTGGAGGGCTGCAGGCATTTGGATAGGATTGCACTCTTAATGAATAAAGCAAACACATATATCATGCAGGTACACTTTTCGCAGGGGTCCGTGACTGGCTATGACATATGCCGCCAGTGACAAACACAGGTTTGCTTCTCTGTTATGAGTGAAACGTCTTTCCTAATGGCATTTCTCTTTCAGGATTTTCAGGGTTTGTGAGACACAAATTACTTCTCAACAACTATATGAATATTTTTATGAAGACCAGAAAGTAGGAGAGACATTTGAAATCTGTATTCTGAGAAAGTTTAGCTCAATGTCTGCTTCAACATACAATTTTTTTAAACTAAGAGTTAAGCCATATGCATGAAAACACCTGCTCACATGTGTGTATCTGGTGGCAAACAGAGGTTGGAGCCAATGTTAGATTAACACAAATCTCATTAATTTCTCTACAGGTCTGCTCTTGGTAGGACTGGTATTGGGTACAGCCCATACAATGCAAGAGCAGCTTCTCTAAACAAGCAAACTTCAGAATAAGAAGAATAATGTAGGAATAACCCATTGAGTAAGATCCTTTAGGTGTCAGCTTAATTAAAATAAAGTATTATTTATTACATTAATTAATCACAGGTAAGTAAGCATTGGATTGCAGCCTCAGACCTCTCTGAATACATAAGAAAAAAGGCCACGTCAGTCCTCCATGAGATCTGGAGCAAGAAAATGTAAAGACGTACTGCATTCCTTTCCTTTGATGGGGTCAGGTAAACCAGAACATTCCACATCAGGATTTGGGATGGCTACCCTCCATCTGGATCCGCTGCTATCGCACTCCGTGTATTCAAAGTGATATTCAGCCTGCAAGTAATGCAAGAATTACTTCACTTGCACAGTTACATTTTCTTTAAACAGAATGCTTCAGTAGAAAGTGATCCCTATCATCAAGAGAAATCAGTTATATATTGAACTGCCAGCTTCTGGGTAGGTGCAATCTTAAAATACTTACCAGGGTTCACAGTTACATGAGTTGGGGCTCAATAGAAATGACACACTGTGCAAGTGAATGCAAAGCAGCACTTGAAAAAACTACTGTGGCTACAAATGCAGCAACCCTTCTGCTTCTGGCTTCACTGACTGCAAATAAGCTTGTCTACATGCAGGAAAGCTGGAAAATAAAGCTCAAACAGACCAAAGGACAATCTAAAAATACCTGTAAATATCTACAAATACCTATCCTCACCCTCTCCCAAAATCATTGGGAGACCATAGGATTCTTTGGAGTCCCATTGCTGGAATTCTGTGTTGGGAAAGTCCAAATAAATCCTGACATAAAAAGCTGTGCTTTTTCATATCCTTTACTATAAAATCTGGCAGCAGTGCCCTTGCTCCTCTCAAAGGGACTACAACTCTTCTCCCAGCTCCACATGCCTGGAAAAAGCAGGCAGCCCCAGCGGGCTCCATCATTCATGCATTTCCTTGCAGTATCAGACAAGCCATCAGGGGAGCTGTGCTTCCGTTGCAATCTAACACCTAGGCAGCCCACCTTTGTCTTAAGGAATTCTGTATATCTGATTGCAAAAACCATAACATTTTAAACCTGTTACATTTCTGTAACTGTTGATTGTTATCTGTTACCAAAGCCTTTAATGGGTCATTATGTTTCTCCCGATGCCTATAATGATTTCTCAGTGTTTCTGTATTATTCCCTATTGTCCTCACCTTCTCACCCATTCAGAATTTCATCACTGCCTTGAAACTGTGTACCTGACTCACAACTTATAAAAAACTCTGTCTGTGCTCTGGGAGTTTGTAGTCAGTGGGTGTACTGGCTAACCTGCAGCACTGTTGTGGGTTTTTCTATGCAAAGGAGTTTTCCTGAGTGTTCTCACCAATAAAACTGCTGAGGCAAAGGTGTCTTCCATGTGGATCCGAGCATACATTCTCCCATTCTGCTAAACCGGGATTTCCTGACACCTGCAGTCTCAGAGCTGGGACTCTGATGACAGAGCCACCAACCCTGCCTTCTCCCTAGTCCCACCCACAGCCAGAGCTGGTCCTCAGGGGAAGTGCGGAGGGACATGAAGAGGCTGGGAAGGGAGAAGGCTGGGGCCTCGACCTTAGGTGAAGTCTGGTCCATGTTCCTTGGTGTCCCCAGCATCAACTCTAGATAGCCAAAAGCCGCCGTCTAGAGAAAGTCCCAGGGGGAAGTGTGGTAGTGGCAAAGATCACAAGCACCACATTTCCATTTAGGCACTGGATACATGTAAGGCGTGGTGTAGTGGCTAATGTAGAAGCAGCTGGACCCTTCCTGATAGTCAAAACCACACCCTTCAAGCCACAAGTGTTCCCGAGGTTATGCAACCTCAGATTGCACAGTAAAAAGGAGCTTTGTTGCTTTGTTTGAATTTCTGTTGACTAACGAATGCAAGATGAGGGTATCTTTTTTTAAGATGAAACAATGAGAGCTTCTAGATGTTATTTCATAGTATCTTATTTATTATTAATGTTTTTTAAAATTACAATCATCCCCTGATTTCCAGCCAGAATGCTCCCAGAGTGGATTATGTGGGATTAATAAGGCAGGTCCTTCCCAAAGGCTTACTATCTAAAAAACAAGACATGCAAGGGGAACGGTACAGGGAGGGGAGAGGAAAAAGGAAACTCAGGTACTAATTACCCACACTTACAGAAATATGTCGTTATATTCTCCCAAGAGTTGTAGTCTGGATCGACAAGCACTGCTTTGTTTCTTTCAATTTTCTCTGGCCTCTGTAACCACTGACTCTGTGTGTGTTTATGTCTGGGAGATCCTCCATGAGTCTAGAGTCCACAGTTTAGGGGTACCACTTTCTCAAAATATCCAATAATCTTTTACTGTGCTCTCTTTGGATCCACACTGATTCATGCATGAACTAGCCTAACTGTAATAAGAGGAACTTAAGGCTGCCCAAAATCATGGCTAATTTTTCCCATTGATCCCAGTGAATATACTCCAGTTATGATACTGTTATTCCATCTGAGCCATTATTTCTTCCAAATAATTATGGGGCTAAGAGTTCCTAGAAAACCTCTATTCACTTCACAGAAGCTACAATTGCCAGCATGATTTATCAGTCAATTCATCTTCAACAGGTAGTTCAAAGGCAGGTCTCTCCGGGTAGGTAGTTCCCAGGAATTGTTGAAAAAATACCCCTGTTCTTCACTTGCTAAATTCAGGTGTTCAGCACTTTGGCAGCTGCCAGCCAGGAACCAGCAAAACTAACTGGCTTCAGGTCCCCTCGAGGGCCCCCTCTACTACAGCTTGCATGTAAGCCTCCAAGCTCAGGGGATTGTACCCTAAGACTCTCGAAAACTGAAATTGCTGCATAACATACAGGTACAGTTATTATCTTCCTAAGGCTGCCTCTTAGCATCCAAGGCATGAGGATTTGTTTGTTTATTTATTTTTAACATTATGCTGCCTTATCTGCTAAAAAGCCATCAAGGCAGTGTACAGCCATCAAGGTGATAACAAAGTTTCTTTCACAAAATTGGTGCTGAAAAGGCAAAGAAAGTTAAGAAGCAGCTCAAACGCGCATCACACACAGATTTCGTTAATTTGCAAATTGTCAAAACCGCTTCCCTTGATAAAGAGTTTCTTTCAAAACACTCGCAAATAAGGACAGTGTTTTTTGCTACACAGCTATTGCTCTCTGCACAGATCTGCAGTTCTGTGATGCCTTTCATCGCTTCTAGCAGAAACTGGCTTCCACCCAAAGAAAAGAAAAGAAAAAAAAGAGACACCCATCTGTGTAACCAAATATGCATAAGCGTGCATATTACCATAGCCTCAGTATAAATGCTTTTCCCAAAGAGAATGGCCCTAAGTTGTGAGGAAGATGGATAAGAGGCCGCTGGATGAGGTGGGTTTCCCACTTTGACAGTGGGCAGGGAGGTCTGCCACCAAAGGCCTCTGAATTACAGCAGCAGAAAGCTCCACCGCTGCTGCTTTTCCAGTGTCACTGCTCAACAGTAACAGGTGGTGAAAAGAGGTGCCTTGGGGCCAGATCGAGGAACCTCAGATCCACTGGATCCAAAGCCTTCTGTTCCAGCAACAAGAGCCCACTGGCAAGGGGAAGGCACCACCAGTGAGAGAGATTGTTTAAGGACAGCCACGTACAAAAAGAGGGGAAGGAAGGGGGGAAGTCCACTTGCCCACCTGCTGTCCTGGCCATCACACGCCCAACAGGCTTCCTCCACCAATCATTTAAAACCAATAAATAAAATCAGCAATTATTAAAATATTGTTTAAATAAAAAGGTCTTTGCCTGGTGCCGAAAAACAAATAACGACGGCGCCAGGCAGACCTCTCTGGGGTCCCTCTTCCCCTTCATTGGCTACCTCGAAAATAATAGATGGATTGGAGTACCAACTGGTCAAGCATTTGGGGTATTTAAAAAATAAACAAACAAACCCTGCGGTGAACATGAGGTTTTATGTTAGAATCTCAAGGAGAATATTCTATTGGAATCTGAAGTACAGGGTAACCTGTATAATTTTCTTAATAGAAGACTGACATTATTCCAAGTATTCCAGGAAGCCAACCAAAATCAATTTGTAAGGTTCAGCTGAAAAGGTTAATAGCAACATGGAGGACAAAGTAGATGTGAATTTTTTTTTCTCACTCTACAGCTTTCATTGAGCTTTACTTTGCTCTGTTCTGGAATATAGCAAAAGGAAACAGCCATCTCCAACTTGATGTGCTCCACTTCTGTTGGACTACAATTCCTACTACTCCCAGGCATTGTGAGGCAGTCATGCTGGCTTGGGACTGTGGGAACTATAGACTAGAGTGCACAGCCTTTTCAGCTCTGGCATTAATCTCTCAGGGACCCCTTAGACATTCCTCTAGCACATACAAATTACCCTGATATGTGTCTCTTTCTTCACTCATTTTATCACATATATATGTCCCTCATCAAATACAGCTTGAACCCTTTCATCCATCACCAGAAATCTCAAGCATTGTTTTCCAGGTTGCTGTAGGAATCAGGATTCTATTGGGAATCATAGATCCCATTTTTTGTTTTTCTTCTCTTTTTTCCAGTGGTAACACATGCTGGGGTCTTGGGGGCTTTCTGAAGTTCATTGGCCACACTTTATGCATCCCGGTTGTATCCAGAGGTTACTAGACTGCAGATGGCTGGCATATAGGAATTCTTCTGCAGTACTTGCTGATTTGAAGAACTGTTGCAACTGTAAATCCACAACTGTGCTAATCTCACAAAATGAGCAATGTTGCATTAGGAGCAGCAGTGACCTACAACTGTTTTGTTGGTATTATTCCCCATTTGATTTGTACCAAATATTTTCCTTCCACACAATAAGGAGATTGTCTGTTCACATCACTCCCTGCTTCATCATCTGGCAACCACTTCACTCAACTGGATGTATTCCTAAATGTTCTATATCTAATTGTCTCCATTAGTTTGCCAGATAAATGATAATTTTCTCATGTGACTGGTTGGTCCAGTTTGTATTGTCACACAATAGCAATAAAATTTGTCCATGCACTCTTGCACTTTTCCATGTAGACTACTGACTGTCTACTTAAATCTACCAGGGCTTTGCATTTGTACCTCTCATGCTCTGATTTGGTTGCAGCAATGCACCAACTCTGCAACCCACCAACAAGACTCTGGCTACACATTATGCTGCACTGGCACTGGGGGCAGAGCATGGGTGGGGGGAAGCACTTTGACACATGCATCACAATGCATATCCCATTGAAAGCCATGTGTTGCAGATGAAGGACATAGAGATGCACATCCCTAGCCATATTTCACTGCAGCTAGCCATGCAGGACTAAATCTATGCAA